CTGAAGAAGACACACATAATGTACCCACTGGATTGGTGAAAGTGGGGGAGTGGCTGCATTACAGCAATATAAATGAACTTATTTGATATCATTCTGCAAAGCTTCAAACTATGTTGCCTTAAAAGCCATGGCAAATTTATGAATGGAGCTGTGCAAAGAGGATTTAAAAAGAGCTCAGCAGCATGTGTTACAGGCCCTGGATGTAGCCTGCCACCAGCATAGCATGAAATCATTTGATAATTACACCATAGCCAAGGTGGATTAGTGTTCCATAAAAATATAGGGCTGCATTATTTTTATTTATATAACAGATGGATCATAGAGGGAGACTCTTAAAAAAATGAATACAACACCATGCCACTGTTGACAGAAGATTTAGATGTGTTACAGTATAACCCAGCCAAATCTGGGATATGTCACCATACCTTATTTTCTTTCTGTTGGGGAAAGGAATGTTGGACAATGAATGTTTAATAAAGTGAATTACTTAGAAAACAAAATTATCAGAAAGAAGAGGTTCCTATATTTCTCTATTTTTTTTAAAAGGACAAGCATTGATTTTCTCATGTTGATTCAGCATATATATCTATACATTGCATATACTTTATAATTAGTGGGATACAAGCAACAACATACAAGGTAATCTCAACATTAAAGGTCCTAGCTTGCATAGAATAGTATAAGAAGGGCTTTACGTTCTCCTGAGCAAATTGGCTGAAAAGTTCTAAAAAAGAGATCAAGCATGCACCATGGATCCGACTGAGGCTGGTAATCTACTATCGATATTATCTATTGTATTAAAAAGGAGTATGTGAAGGACTCATTTGATCAAAATAAAAATGCCGTAGGTCAATAGCAATAGGCCCTCTCCTGATTATCATGGGATATGGAAGATGGCCACCTGGAGTGTAAAAGAATTAAATGGTAGAGAGCATGATATAATGAATGAAAAGAAAAGAAAGAAAAATTTCTAGTTCTATGAAATGAAAAGGGAAGGATAATAGGTCTGAATAAAATTGGCCAAATTTTGTGGAGTGAATGAATACATCCAGTAAAAGTAAGACATATCTAATTAATAGGAGAAAACATAAGTATTCATCCATTAACTGAATCAGGAGAGAGAAAGGGGCTATGGGTGGTGGGGAGAATGGATATAGGTCAGTGGAGATGAACGTGTGAATGAGAGAGGAGGGTTATGAAATACCACCATTATAAAAAGTTTAATATTTTAGGTTGTTCTCCTTGAAATGTTGTCCTCCTTGAATATATGGCAAAGTCTGCATCCAATTTAGGGCTACCGGATCTGAGCTATAAAGACTGCAGCATCTTCTGTATCTGGTAGTGATAATCCAATTGAATATGGAAAACAAAACTTCAAGGACATCACCCTGCATTAATGAAAAATACAGCTTGGGCCTCTTAGAGCATGATCAAAATGTTTAAGTTAAAACAGAACTTATCTATCTTCGGTCCGCTTTAAAAACTTAGGAAGCAAGAAGTCAACAATGCAGCCAAGAGGGAATAGGACTTAGATAACACAGCTGTGGGATTAGGGGAAAAAAGATCAAGCACAAGTGTAGTTTAAGCCTCTATTGTAATTAAAACATGAAATGTGGAACAAATTGCATTTTGGGAGATCAAGTTTGTAAAATGCTTTATTTATATTTCAGGGAAATACTGAATCTATTTTTATACAATCGCTCATTAGTCTGATCTCAAAACACACTCACACAACAGAAAACATATTAACTATGCATCAATAATACTAGTAACTAAGATTTTTTTATTGAAGTTTTTTTACAGTTTTTTTTTTAAAAATCAGATCAGCATATTTATGGGTTAAAAATCATTTTCTGTGTTATTTTCAATAGACACTGCTATGTACATTTTTTAAAAAAAATTCACTTATTTATTTTAATACTAATGTACTACCTTTCCAAGTCTCAAGATGGCCAAAAAAAAGTCTATTATTCCATCTTTCTGAAAATAAAATGTATTCGGCTTTTTAATTCTTTCCTCTTTTTAGTTACCTGTGTGCATTTGAAATCTGTTCAAGAAGTGTAGGGGCCCTGTGAAGACATGGGAAATGGGCCCATGAAGCATTGCAGAACATATTTCCCATTCCATCAGTGGAAATTGCTTCTGCTAGTAGAATATTGGGTTGGATTTTGACTTCTGTGAGTGCTCTCTGTTAAAGGTAATGCTGCACATTGATTGATGTAGCCTAACCAATAAGAAATAGCTGAAGAAATCCTTGTTTGTCTCATAAAAATTAGATCACTTTTTAAACGCAACATGAAAACCTGACCACAGAAAAACAATAATTTAGGTCAGTAGAAAGCTAGAGAGAAAACTCACATTACCAGTCTAATGGTGGCAAGATCTTTCCAGCATAAAAAGTAATCTTTTTTTGCTACTTTGCATAATAATTCATCATATAACAATTGATTTTTTTTTATTTTTGGGGTATATACAACAATTCAAAATCACCTTCACATCTTTAAATTTCATAGGACTTCTCAAAAACATGTTAATGGAAAACGGGGGAGGATTTCCTACCCCCTCGATCATATCATCCTTCCAGCACTAATGAGGTTTGTAGCCATCCATTTTTAAACATTCTCTGTGATGTCCAATAAACATGATATTTTGTTGAATGAATTTCATCTTTATAAAACATTAATACATAATCTCTGAGTCAGAGATCCTAGAATAAACTATGCCGGTGTGTCTTGATTTTTTTTAGGAACAATTTATTCAGCTGCATTAGACTTAAAAACAGAAGTGACACACTTCTAATTTTGTTTTTTTTTAATATAATTTTTAAAATTGACACTGAATTGTTATATTTCATAACAGGCTGTTGAATGTTATTCAATATGATATAAATGAAATATATGTACAGCAGAATCATGATATGTAACATTTTAAAGGATAAATAGTAAGCTAAAAATACAGACCTTCATATTAAATTAATGAGTATCATGCCGCATGCATTAAAAAAGCAAATGGTGTAACCTTTCCAAAATCTTTGAATTTAATTGTAAGAAACAATGAATGGTGAGAATCCATTTCTATCACTAGAATGTTTGAATCAATGAAGGGACATTTTGGTGGGTTTCTCAACACATAGAGGTAGCCAGGCCTTATATCTGAAGCAGAAGTATTAAATATCGTTTTTGTTTTGTTTTGTTTTGGTTTTGGTGTCTTCAAGTCAGTCTTCATTTCTGGCAACTTCCTGGAAGAGCCCATGAATTTTCATAAGTGGATTGTCATTGTGTTCTTCCTAGGGCTGAGAGAAAGTGACAGGTGCAAAAGTCACCCAACTGCCTTTGTGCCTAAAATGGTGGAAGAACTCAAGATCTCACAATTTCTAGCTTGCTGCCTTAATCATTACACCAAACTGGCTCTCGATATATAAATAATACAGAGCTTTTGAATCTTTTGTTATTGGGGAATTTCTTACTTAGAAAATACATCCTTCTGCAGAAAAGGGGTAGTCTATTTTAAAACCAAGAGATGTGCAATAGCGTGACCCAACAAAAGGGCGAACGAAAAAACCGCACCTGACTAAACCGCGTCGCTGACGTCATCGACGCGGCAACAACAGCCAGCACGGAGAAAGAAGGGTGCTTTAAATAGCGCTTCGAAAGAAAACCGATTTAACTTAAGGTAAGGGTTAGGTTTAGGGTTAGGTTTAGGGTTAGGTTTAGGGTTAGGTTTAGGGTTAGGTTTAGGGTTAGGTTTAGGGTNTTCCCAGCCCCCAGGAGCTCTCTGAAAGCTTCCTAGAGGCTCCGAACGGCCATTTTGGTGAAGGGGGCAGGGTTTCAGGAGGCAAAAAATGCTGTATTCAGTGTATAAGACACACCCAGATTTTCAGCCTGTTTTTTTGAGGAAAAAAGGTGTGTCTTATCCTCCGAAAAATACGGACTATAAATTGAATAAATACATTTCATACATGTAATATTTATTCAATGTTTGTAAACAATTCTCTAATCGTTCAACAGAATTTTGATGTTCACCTTGTCTATGTTGGCCCTGACTACAATTCTATTGCAAAGGAGCAAAGAATGATTTTGCACATTAGCAACATTGGTTGTAGATCAAAGCCCAATAATGAACATTTATGAGCCCTGATGGAGCAGTGGTTAGAGTGCAGTATTGAGCATAACCCCACCCAGAGCCAGGAGTTCGATCCTGATAGACACAAGGTTGAGTCAGCCTTCCATTCTTCTGAGGTTGGTAAAATGAGGACCCAGATTGTTGGGAGCAATATGCTGATGTTAAGCTGCACAGAGAGTGCTGTAAAGCACTACACTCTCTCTATATATAAGTATATTACTATTTTACAAAGGATGTAATTATAAGTTGTAACTGAGATATTTTGGAAAGCTTTCTAAGCAATAAAACAACTCTAAAAACTATTCAGTGTCAACCTATCACATTTCTTGATTGATCTGAACCATAGTTATAATTTTAATTCAACACCATTGACTTTTGTATTTTCAAAAAAGAAATTGCTGTTAATTGCTTGAAGATAATTGAGAAAAAAACATAATTACCACATCTACGATATGGACAACATTTTTCTGGACTCCAAACTTCTATCAAGGACATTCCCAACATACATTTAAATTCAGGACATCGAAAAGTTTCACAGACTGCAAGTTAAAAATAGAAGACAAATGTGGTTTTTATCCTCAGATTCTTGAAATGGAAGAATCTCATTTGAATGAAAAATAGTCAAGTTGATACTTATTAAATCACAAAAAAAGTAAAATGTTTAAATTGTGGGTTTAACCTCTCAGTATCACTGATGTACATCTTAATATATACAGATAAAAGCTGATAAACAATATACATTAATACATTAAACTTCTATCTTTCTTGCATAACTACATTGACAATGGAGATTAATAAAAAGTTTAATTCATGATAATTTTTATAGCTCAGAACAATCACTGCAGAATAATTAAGATAACCTCTGAGAACAAACTCACCACACTGATAATCAGGGCAACATCTGTCAGTGGTATTGCCATCCACAGCGAGCCTTTCTCCTTCTTGACATATGGGAATTCGATCAGAACAAATGCCACAAGCTAAAATAGAAAAATATAATTTATATGAAAAATAAGGTCAGGCATTTTTTATTATTCTGTTTTCTATAATTGCATAGTTTTGTGAACTGCGCTTTCTTTCTTTTTTGTCTACCACAAATGAAAACAGAATTTCCTTTTTAATGTGTCCAGTGTGCTCACAGTAAAAAAAAAAATGACAATAAAGGTTATCTTATCTTATCTATTACATAAACTGATGGATACAAATTTTTACTACGAGGAGGAGGGAGGGAGGTACAAGCCCTTATTCAGTTAAGCTTTCAGTGCACATTAGAGTATATGTTGGCATTATATACTCTACCTTTTCACAATACCATTTTTAGGCAATTGTACACAAGTGAGAAATTTCAGCAGGTAAACATCACTTCGGGATTGATCACTGAAGTAATACAATATGTATACAGGATTCAAGCATAACTCCCATTTTTGCAATTCTTAAAGATGAAGATAATGTTTTTTCTTTTTCTTCTCTTCCTTCTCCTTTTAAAGAAACCTTACCTTTACTGTCTAGGTCTCAAATCACCTCCCCAAAATTTAAAATGGCCCTGAGTTGCCTTCTAAGAAGCCATATGGATATACGTAGGAATGTATGATGTGATGCATGAAACAACAGGTATTATTGATCTAAGACATTATTATATCTTTGAGGCATCATAAGTGTAATAAGAATTAAATCTGACATACAGCAAATATAAGAGAAGCAGCAGGTGCCTTCCACATGGGCAGCAACCAAAGTCTGATCTGATCGGCACTGGGGAATTTGTTCCATAGACTTACATTTTTCTGGATCACATTCTAAACAAACAGAGCATAAACAAGCCAAATGAAGTAAAATAAAACTTGAAGAAGTGTTCATTTGTATCACTGTAATGTTATTAATTTCCAGAAAAATATCTAGTACAGGCAGTCCTCGATTTACAACAGTTCATTTAGGGACTGTTCGAAATTACAACGGCACTGAAAAAAAGTGATTTATGATCACTTTTCACACTTACGACTGTTGCAGCATCTCCATAGTCATGTGGTTTACATTTGGATGCTTGACAACTGACTCACATTTATGACAGCTGAGGTTTCCTGGATTATTCCTTTTTGCGACCTTCTGACAAGAAAAGTCAATGGGGAAACCAGAGTCATTTAACAACTGTGTTTCCAATTTAAGAACTGCAGTGATTCACTTAACAAATGGGGTGAGAAAAGTGGTAACATGGAGCAAAACTCATTTAACAAATCTCTCACTTAGCAAAATACATTTTGAGCTCAATTCTGGTCGTAAGTTGAGGACTACTTGTATAGTCTGGGTTGCCATTTTATTTTTCTTAGCAATTAGAATTGTTGTTAGACCTCCCCGACCAGAACTGCCACCCTTTCATCATGGTTCATCTTCCTATTATTGTTAAACAGCACTTCCTGGAGAAAGAAACTCATATACAAGGTCCTCTTGGACTGGATTGGATTGGCTATTGAGAGTGGGGGTACCTTCTGGTCTTTGCATCTGTGAGCCAGGTAGCTAAAGAATACCATCATGTAAAGAATACCATCATGTCTTCTCTTTAAAAAAATGAAAACAAAAGCTTCCAATCGTCTGGTTTTAATTCATTATAAATAAGAACAAGTAACACTTCCTTTCATCTTGTATAGACAAAACAATTGTAACTGGATGGAATTGAATTCTGACAACAATATGAACAATACAGTATCTCAAACTTTAGTGTCCCCACTGAAAGCGATGGGAAAACCGGATGACAGATCTGATGGTCCATATCTGAGTTCAGATATCATATAATGGCTTACAAGATTTAAACTAGACAAAGGGAAATTAAAAACTACCAGAGGCCAATTTCCAAATGACAGGATTTATTGAGCAGACTAGCATACCTTAAAAAGAAATGAATTCCAATGCAAATTCTGGCCTAGAACATCTCCTTTAGGAGAAATTCTGCAAAGAGAAATTTCTCTCAGCTTGCTTTTCCAAATGGCTAATCCTGACAAATTCTTAAGTACCATAGTTTGCAACTTTTAATCAAAGTTTTAAGACAATTTCCTCTTAATTCCTGTTGACTCCCAATGATTTTTGGATTTTAGTTGGTGAGTCCATTCACCTTCAGCCCTAAGACATTTGAGGTCTGATCATACCTGGGCTCTAAAGCATTCATTCTTTCCACTGAGACTTGTCTACCTAAAAAGTCTTATTCTCGGCTGCCTGAGTCAATTAACTTCTCACCAGTAGTCCCAAATGAGGTTGTCTCATGATTCTTCCCATTCACAATTCTCTTGTCTGAAATGGTACAGGATTTCCTGCCTGAACAGGAGGACCTAGTCCACTAGAAGACCTCCAAGGTCCCCTCCAGCTCTGTTATTCTTGCAAATTAGCTCACACAACTATATGGCTGTTTCCAGTCCCTTCTTTCTTATATCAGTAATCTCTCTTCCAGGTGTTCATTTCTCCTTAATCTATTCTCTGGGGATTACTTCCTTTCACATCTGTCATCTCTCTCTCCCGCTCTTTCCCCCTTCTCTCAAGATTGCTTTGAAAATATTGTTTTTAAATTCAATACTTACCACATGTATAATTTGGACAGCAGGAATTATCTTGATAATAGGTTACCAATTTCTCTAAGACTTTGCATTCAGGAACTAGGGTGTCACAAAGGCTTTGATTGCAAGCTTTATTGATAGCCAAACAGACCCAAAAAGAACAAAAAAAATACTGCTAAGTATAGCTTCAAAAATGTACCACATTTTGGCACCCACAGAAATATTGACAATTATACATTTTAAAAATGCTAGCATTGCCATGCACTGTAAAAGATCCTTCAGCCAAGCAAACAGAAGCAGAATCCAATAGGCATTGGATTGTTCTTTCATATATACATATAGGTCTCTCAGAAAACAAGCTGCATAAAAAAGATTATTTTAATGCAGGATAGGAAAATAATCCAAAGGTGGGATATCATCTTTCTAATGTTTTTGTTGTATGTTTGGTTAAATTCCTATCCTATCTTTCATGGGGAGATTAAAGCAATTTATATAGAGAGCAATTTTTTTTCAATTTAATTGTGGTTACCGGGAAAATAAATGTGTTTTATTCAATATACTGAACAAAGAGATCGTAATTCAGTGGACAACTGAAGAAATTTTTCATTTTCACTGACTTCAGAATGATTAGGAAAGTGGAACTGTAGTAATTTACTGGTTCAAGTAGTCCAGAATTTCTAGAACTGACATTAGTATTTATTTGTTAGATTTATGATTCTCTTCCTTCAGGAATTCCCTTCTCCAATTTTTTCTCCAGAGCAACATTATGAGTGAGTTGGGCTAAGAGAGAGATCCTATGTCACCAAGTGATCTTCCATGGCTGAGGGTGGACTTGAACCTTGAACTTTGTACCTTAGTCTGACACTTTACCACAACTTACCACAAGTAGTCAAGTGATATTCCCATATCATATACTTCTATTATGTGTTTTTATATCCTGCTGTTAATATTTTTATGCATAACTCAAGGCACTGAATATTTGTAATACTCCTTCCTCTTCCTATGTTCTCCAGAACTATCCTGTAACTATATTATAAATAATTGAATCCCATCATTTTTATGAACTACTTTTCTGCAACACTGTGTCCAAGGTTTTAGCTCATAATAACTGAAATTAGAAAGTTCAGTATAACAACAGTCAATGTGCTTCTCCAGATTATTGTTCAAACTTCATTCTGCCTACCCTAGTTTCACTGGTAAAATTTATTTGACCAAATTGAGAGAACATTATAATTGCAACTCAGTCAAACTCAACAGAAAGTTTTTTAGGTAACCTTTAGAAATATAAGTCAGCTTCAGGGTTGACAGGGTGGCTTGCTATGGATCTATTACTTGGAACCCCGACATTATTATTTCCTCACACAGTATATTTTTTCTGGTAATCTTAGCAACTTTAATGTCAATTAAATAGCTATTTTGTCAGGCTGTAAACAATTCCAGATTTTCTGATTGGTTTTCAGTCAATATTCCTATTCATGCATACTCTATCAACTTTCTTCCTTGCTTTCGATGGTCTCAGCCTTATAAACGAATGAAAAACAATCTTCAAATTATATTCAACTAGCTGATAACCCATCGTTGCCCAGATATAAAGGTAGTTGAAATTACTCAAGGCGTTCCAGAGTTATGCTGAAACATATACACACACACACAGCCATATAGATAGATAGATAGATAGATAGATAGATAGATAGATAGATAGATAGATGATAGATAGATAGATAGATAGATAGATAGATAGATAGATAGATAGATNATCAGAAATACAAAAGTACCACATATTATGTAGAATGTTAGAAAAACAGGAGCAAATGCCAAAAGCTCTGCTGTGCTATCACCCTTTTCTTAATCTACAATGCAATGCATGCTTTGGGTTTCTTTGACAATTTTTTTGGGGGAGCTGTATTCAGTAATTATATTAATCCTTATTAAATCTTTGCACAGTGGAATGGGGTCAATATAATGTGCACAGCAAAGTAGATCTATGTAAAGAGTAAATCAGTGCCAAAGCCTATTTACCAATAAAGAACCGTGCCATATAATAATCATTATTCTTGGATAGCAAATTAGACTCACTGTTCATCACACTATATACACAACTTTCAGTATGAAGAAATGAAACTATGAAGAATGATCAGGAATTGTGTTAGCTCACCACCAATATCAGCATTTCCTTGTGTTCTGTGAGCTATAAGTTAATCAAAATAACTAGGATTTGAAGTACTTGGGAGTGATGCACAGTTGGGACTTTTGTAATGGATTGTAGAATGGCTCTGGTCATCTATTAAACATATTCAGGATTCATGACATTAAATATATCATGCTACTAAATATATCATAATGTTAAGTATGCACAACTTTGTATTTCCAGAATACCATCTGATTTCAGATCACTGTGATTAGTGAAATGAAATAAGAGTAGTATTTGGAATTGCAAATGAAACTCAAAATTTGGACTTAGTTAATCAATGGACACTACAGAGCCACCCAAAATATTCCAAATAATCCAAAAGATGTAGTAGCCCAGGAAGAAAAAAAACAGAAGTGACCTTTGACATACAGTGTAAAGACTGCAATAGCCACTACGTAGGACAATAGGCAGAAAACTACCACAGTACATTCATGAACACCAACTAGCAATCAGAAAACATAATGAAAACTCCTTAATTTCACAACACATGGACAGACTTAACAATAGTTTCTACTGGGAAACTCTGACCATCTTAGACCAAGCCAGGTCCAAAAATGCTACAGAATTCCTGGAAACCTGGTACTCTGACAAATTGGCCATCAACAGGCAAACAGACATAAACAACAACTACAATCCATTCAAAAGAAACAATCAACAAGCCAAAAAAGACACAAAAAGACCAAAACACCTCATCATCCATCAACACACAGAGATTAACACCAAGATTAATATTAACAATTAAGAAGCAAACAATATCCCAATTAAGGAACTGCCAAACAAACTTACAGCCAACAATCCAATCAAAGAACTACCAAAACTACACTCTACCAACACTGATAGGGCAAACACTACAATATAAAGTGGGAGCAAATCCAGCTTCCTACTTGCACTGCCAAAGTTTCGGTAATGAAATGTCTGAAAGAAAACAATCAAACTCAGAGAGCACCAAGGATTTCTCACACCCTCTCCTTTCTTTTTTTAAAAAAGCCTGTACCTTAAAGTATGAAATTGTTCCATTGGTGAATGTGTAAACACAAGACACATTCTTGCATTTTCCACAGCAAGTTGTTAGATCCTTTGGTCGTTCATATACTTGATGCTAAAAAGGATAAGGATAAAATATTGCATATAGTTGAAAACAAGTAGCAAAATTACAAGAATAAAATCCCCACAACAATACTCTAATTGGTCTGTGTTAAGTTCGAAGGAATAGATGGGGTATGAGGTGGCTGAGGTAAGTGAACAGCGATTTATTTGAAGAACAGCAACAATAACTATATACAGCGAATTCAGCACCTCGCCCTGCTTGACAACTATTTATACAAGGACTGTCAAGCAGGGCGACCAATAGGAATGCTTCGGGCAGCTCACACTCAGTCAGCCGCGCCTTAGCCAATCAGGCACAGCTGAGCTGTTGCCGGCTGTCAATCGTAAGTCGAGGACTTGCAGCCAGTCGTAAGTCAAGGACTTTAGCACCGGTCGCAAGTTGAGGACTTGGCAGTCTGTACCAGTGGTGGGTTTCATATCCTGTTGCAACCGATACGGTTCAATGGGGCCAGGCATCCACCACAAGAACGCACACAGCACGTGTGCATGCATCCTTACCTTTTGCGACGCCTCTGAGAGGCTCCAGCTGCTTGGCGAAGCATCACGCAGGTACCGTGCACTCCATGTGCATAAGCTCCAAAGAAGTCAAATACAGGTAAGGAGCTCGGGCAGGCAGATGGGCCTCCAGAGCACCATACCAGAATGGTACCCGGTGTTCCGGGCAGGCACTGGTATGCCCGTACCGGGCAGTGCCACCTGCAACCCACCACTGGTCTGTACTGTATTCACTAGATGCTCTTGAAAAGTATATAATAAATTAACAAAACTTTGTTAAGGGGAGCTTTGCAAAATGTTTTGGTATGAGCAAACCAGCCATCCTCAAAGCATTAAAGCCACAAATCCTCCTTAAAAGGCTTCCCAGATATCTGCAAAATGTATGGGCACAGAGATAATTTGCTTCCCTGGGAACTTCAGCAGAATTGCTTATTATTATTATTTTTAAATCATTGCATTAAACTACAGTGTACTTCAGTGGCTACTTTGACTTGGACTTAGATTATCTGGTTAACTGCTGCTTTAAACCAAAATTCGTTCTGGGTCTTCCTGTATGAACGGTTTGAATTGAAAGGGCAACTATTGCTTCACTTCATTTTTCCCACTGCAACAGAGTAGGAAATGTGAATAGAATACATCAATTCAGACTTCTCACTTGAGGCACAATGACCAGGCTCAAGTTGACACATTACATCAGAGGTGTCAAATTCACAGTGTCACATTCTCATCATGTGACGTATACCCCCTTCACTAAACCGGGAGTGGGTGTGGCCAGTGCGTAACGCATCTGGCTTGCGGGCCGCAAGTTTGACATCCCTGCATTACATGAAGACCTAGTTCTCTGTAAAAGTCTGTAATACTGGGAAAGGTAGAAGGAAAGAAGAAAAAGAGACATCAGCACTATAAGATAGACCAAACCAAGAAATAGACATCATGGGGCCTAAAACTATTGTTAGAACAACTATAATAGCAAAAACTTGCAAATCTGAGCTTCTTTTATCTTCATGTGAAGTTGGGAGGGTACTGGCTGAGGCATGTTTATAAACCTCTTTTGTAGTATGGGTTCAAGCCACATTTATCTGATTGTTACCTTTGTAACAGACCTTCCCTCTGTCCATCAAGGCCATCCTTTCCATTAAGAATATAATCAGCAGCAAAATGGCTGGGTATACCCTTAGAAGACTAGACCAGGGATAGTTCATACAGGAGAAGGTCTATCTATGTGGTCACTAAGTGTTAACATGGCACATAATCAAGTAACTGACACTTAAACTTTCTTCACATATTTGAATAGTTAGAGCATGGGATTTCACAACTCAGGTGAGGGACTCAAAAACTTTAGATTATTCTTCAGGGAACAGCCAAATTCAAGGACTGTTCTAGCACATTCAGGTGAAGGATGGGATGGATTCATCTTGCCATTAATGCCCTCTCTCTTTTTAACTTCTCAGTGAAAGCTTCTAGTTTATTTTTGAACTTCTTACAGATTTGCACCTTGCTGCACAATCAATGATGGAAGTATTCATCTGATAAAACTTGGTAGCAGGGTCAAGTACACTTGTGCAGTATGAAATGTGACAAATGCCACTAGATGAGTGTTCAACAATGGATTGTCCTGGAAGCAGAATGCCTCTTTCGTTGTTCAGACATACTTTGTCTTTTGCTGGAAAAATTTCAACAAATATGAACAACATTATGTAAAATTGTTCACACAAAGATAAACAAAATGCTTAAATATTCATAAACATCACTAATGAAAGAAAATGAACATACAAATATTTAATCATGACCTTCTGACTTTTATTAACAGAATCCTACAGCAGTCGTAAAACAAGGGAGCTAGCCACAAACATATCCATTCAATTCCCCTTGAGGCTATTTTCAAGTCTTTTCAAGTTGCAGGGAAGTAGCATATGCTTATAAAAATTATTTTATTCTAACATGATTTTTTGCCTGGTTTATAAATAGAAACATTATTCAGACTAATATAAATTAGAGCTTTCAAAAGAAAAATGGGTTTACTTACAACATTTATATTTAGCGCAGTGACAAACATCTTCTGTGTTGTTCTGGAATTTGTCATCTAAGACCAATTTCTCTCCCTGTCCATATCAGAAAAATATCAATATTATCCCATAAATATTGTTCTTCAATATCAGTATTTCTATTCACTCTATCTTTCTAATAGGGTTATGAATTCTAAGTTTTAAAAAAACAAAGTAAAAAGCCCAGTTCTTTGCTATATTATTCGTGTGTGTGTGTGTGTGTGTGTGTGTGTGTGTGTGTACACATATACACACATATACAGAAGGAAATCTGTGTCCCAAGGTGTCTTATATAAATCACTAACTTTGAGATTCTAGGTCTAGGACATATTACCTGGATTACTAACATTTACTAATTAANAGGTTTAGGGTTAGGTTAAGGGTTAGGGTTAGGTTTAGGGTTAGGTTAAGGGTTAGGTTTAGGTTTAGGTTTAGGTTTAGGGTTAGGGTTAGGTTAAGGGTTAGGTTTAGGGTTAGGGTTAGGGTTAGCTTAAGGGTTAGGTTTAGGGTTAGGGTTAGGTTTAGGATTAGGTTTAGGGTTCGGTTTAGGGTTAGGGGTTAAGTTTAGGTTTAGGGTTTACAGCGTCCTTCTGTCTCCACGCTGTTGTCGCCCTGTTGATGACGTCAGCGACACGGTTTAGTCGGGCGCAGTTTTGTCGTTCGCCCTTTTGTCGGTGAACCGTGCAATAGAATATTAAATTAAAGCTGGCTGCATGGATAAAAGCTTTCACTGGACTTCCAATTCATGAATATTCTGATTAAATAATCTCTACAAAAGAAAAGTATATTAAAAAAAACAGAACCTCTTTCTATTGACAATTTGAATACTCTGGGCTCATTTCTAAACAATAAAAATGTAATGACATATAGTCATCTTTAAAAGTAATTGTTATAATTATAGATAGCTGCATTATTGATAAACTGTTAACATTCTGAATTTATTCTGGGAATAAAATTAATTGCCTCCAAAGCTGTTTAAGAAACAGACCTCTTTTAGCATTGCTTCATGACCATTGGCAAGAACAGTCTGTGGGTTCCTGAATTGTATAGCTGACCCAGGTTGAGTTCCCACTGCAATATAACTGTACAGTTCTCCTATGTAGTCCCAGTTCTCTGCAACATTTGCAGAATCTTGCATATGTATTAATGTTATAATTATAGATGCTTGCAGAAGGACATTTTCCATCACAGGAAACAATGTTTACCTGGGAATAAATACATACAAAAAAACCCAGTAAATAAAATGGCTTAATATGTGCATGACTTCCAAACATTAAGAGAGATGATGCAAAGAGTATTGGTTCAATGCTTACCGGTGTATTACTTCGACAATCGTTCTTGCGTATTGTCATCCTAACAGTCACTTTTTTACAGAATTTTCCATCTTCTTTACCTAAAATAATGAATTGTTTGGAAAATATTAATGTTCCTAGGCACATCTGTACACCAAAAGGGGATAAAATATGCTAAGAAAAATGATGAAACAATCGTGAAAAGTAATTAACTACTGATGCTATTGTATTTATAATTTTTAAATTGGGTATTTTTTTAAAATAAGGTTAAAAACAAAACAAAAAAAGGTTTGCCCAAAACACTAGAGATGCAGTGTTTAGATACTATAAAGATTATGCTTTGTTCTAGTACAATTACCACTAAAAGGAGTGAAACTTATACAGTTGCCAAATCCATTTTCTAAAGTGCAGGAACATAATCATATGCATTTATTTTAAAATCCTGGGATGTCAGCTCAGGTTTTAATTAAGAATTCAAATTGATAAACATAAGTTAATGGATTGTACCCAAAGTCCTCAAATTGTGTAGTATTTATATTTTACTCCAGAATCTGAAATTCTGACAGTAGTTTAATCTAGGTGAAGTAATACTGTATAACAAAGTGGGCATGGTAAATACATAAATCAACATAATGTGTCTATTCAATATTTATAATGTTTAACATTCATAGCTATGCATATATGCATCTATGCATCTATGCTATTCTGCTGAAATTTGCAGCATATTTATGGCATATGGCAGTCAGCAGAACTAGCCTGCAGTACTGCATTCTAACCACTGTGCCACCACGATTCTTAATATAATATAATAAATGTGAAGAATTTAATGCAATAACATAATAATTATGTTTAATGTAACTTATGTAAGGAATTTGAGAATTGTGTTTAAATGATCTGATTGTGAGTATGACATATGACCTGGTAAGTCAAGTCTCAATTCAATCCCACAATTCAACAATGTGATGGAAGGAAGAGCCATTATTGCCTAATAGATCACATAAAATTAGACAAATAAGATGCAACTGTAGGATTAGGACAATTCAACTATACAATCAGACTAAGTTGTAAGATTGGCATAGCAGGAAAGGCGCTTCCTATACCCAACATGTGTAACTAACATAATTTGATTAATTAAATTCAGTGTGATATGTAGCATAGGACTGTAGTTTCATCTGCCTAAAAGACAACAAAGCCATAATTGAGGGGTCCTTGGTGCTCTCTGAGCTTGCTTGTTTTTTGCAGACATTTCATTAGCCAAACTAGGTAACACATCAGTGCTAGTCCATCAGTCCAGTAGCACAGATGATGTTACTTACCGTATTTTTCGGAGTATAAGAGGCACTTTTTTCCTTTAAAAAGAGGCTGAAAATCTGGGTGCGTCTTATACATCGAATACAGCATTTTTTTCCTCCTGAAGTCTTGCCAGTGATTTCCTTCTCCAGCACATGGATAAATACACCTGGAAACATCTACCTACCTACCTTCCTACCTACTGTATTTCCCCCCTCTCTCTATCCCTCTATCTACCTACCTATCTACTTTCTCTCTCTCTCTCTCTACCTACCTACTTTATTTCTCTCTCTCCCCCCCTCTGTCTACCTACCTACCTTCTCTCTCCCTTCCTACCTACTGTATTTCTCTCTCTCTATCCCTCTATCTACCTACCTACTCTCTCTCTCCCTACCAACCTACTGTATTTCTCTCTCTCTCTATCCCTCTCTCTACCTACTTACTTACTCGCTCTCTCCCTACCTACCTACTTTATTTCTCTCCCCCTCTATCTACCTACCTACCTTCTCTCTCTCCCTTCCTACCTACTGTATTTCTCTCTATCCCTCTCTCTCCCTACCTACCTATTGTATTTCTCTCCCTCTCCCTCTCTATCCCTCTATCTACCTACTTTTTTAAAAAAATTGCCTCTTCAAAAGCTTGGTGCGTCTTATACTCCGGTGCATCTTATACTCTGAAAAATACGGTAGTTTGGGTAAATGAAACATCTACAAGAAAATAAGCAAGCTCAGAGAGCACCAAGGACTCATGTCAACCCTGAGCATTATTAAATATTATTAAAGCCATAATTATAATTAGTTTATTAATGTCTCCATATTTTGGCTTCCTTGGATGGCTGAATTCTGTATTTTCATATAATATTTAGTATGTTTGTAACTATAGATTTGCTTGTTCTTCATTTTTGTTCTAATGCCAGATTGTTGTATTTAATACATCTATATCATAATCGCAATAGCCCTTAGACTTATGTACCGCTTCATAGTGCTTTATAGCCCTCTTGCCCGCAACAATCTGAGTCCTCATTTTACCAGCCTCGGAAGGATGGAAGGCTGAGTCAACCTTGAACCAGTGAGACTCGAACTGCTGAACTGCTGGCAGCCAACAGTCAGCAGAACTAGTCTGCAGTACTGCATTCTAACCACTGTGCCACCACAACTCTTAATATAATATAATAAATGAGAATATTCCAATATTTATTTAGGATATAACATTGGAAAACATGCCATGCTCTCTGCAAGTGTTATTTGAATAGCAAGCTTTAATAAGCAAAAGAAATATTTTCTATGTTCTACAGCAGTGTTGAAATTACTCAGTTAAGCAAATAAAATAAATCGTGCAGCAAATTAAATGCTATGCAAATGCTTACTGCCAACAGTACATTGTTGGCTAACAACAATGCACTGCCCATACAGTGCAAAATGAAAAAAATGTGAGCAAATCTGAAGAATGAGCAGTTAGTACTACAATGCAGCTCTTTTAAATCATGTTTTGTGACCGGAGGGGCATTATGCTTATAGGAGGGAGTACATTGTTGGAAATCAACAATGGCTCTGTTTGGTTCATTCCTACTGATTTCCAAGAAAATGTACCTGTATTACACTTAAGGCTAGGTGTAGGTGTAATTGGGCTAACAGGGAATGGGAGCAAAAATGATACTCCAGAACCTAAGGACATTACAAATGGAACATATTATACATGATGAATAGATGCCCCAAATCAGTATTCAGCATTTTATCTTTACTTATGCTATCAACAGTAATCTCTCAACTGGATGATTATGCTGAATAAAAACATGCATTAAAATGATAATTAAAAATAACATTAATAACAAACTATCCACTCATCACTAGTGAAGATACTACTTTTATTACAGATACACTTTGGTTCATCCTAGCTTCAGGTATCCAGAAATGTTTCCTTCAAAAATTGGGATCTGTTTATGAAGATGTTTTTAAGAAGATGTTGGATAACCATTTGTCTGAAGTGGTGCAGGGTTTCCTGCCTTAGCAGGGGGTTGGACTAGAAGACCTCCCTTCCAACTCTGTTATTCTATTCTATGTAACCAATAATATTTTTGAAAATTGTATTGACAATATACAAACTGAGAAATTCCACTGAATAAAATGCCTTTGAAACTCTATAAATGAAGTATAACAGTATTACTCTTACAAATAAAAATAAGAGTATTACTTATTTTACAACCATTTAATAGAGACCTGTTATTGTTTACATTGCTATTGATGATAATCAATGTTTGAAATTTCTTCCCTTTCAAGCCCCTAAATACTGATGCTTCAGTAGCAACTTACATGTCTTGCAACATCCTTCAAGGAATGGGACAATGTATCCTCCAATCTAAATATGTACAAAAATAAAAGTCAGATGCACTGTATATACACTGTAAAATTCTTCATTATATTTCTAATTGCATATGAAAAACATAATTAGAGCTGAGCTCATGAAAAAAAAAACTAACCTATAAATATTTTGCAATGCATCTGCTTGGGATAATTTTATGGTCCCCATAAAATCATACGAAAAGAAATATGTTGAAGCACTAACCTTCACACATTCTGTTTCATTAAAAGGTGGACAGCTGATGGGTGATGTAATTAGAACTGATCCAACTGGTGTATTTATGCAATCATATTTGAGACAGTTTAAGTTCCAACTTGAACCAGGCTACAAAATATTAAAAAAAAACATTATCAGAAATACAAAAGTACCACATATTATGTAGAATGTTAGAAAAACAGGAGCAAATGCCAAAAGCTCTGCTGTGCTATCACCCTTTTCTTAATCTACAATGCAATGCATGCTTTGGGTTTCTTTGACAATTTTTTTGGGGAGCTGTATTCAGTAATTATATTAATCCTTATTAAATCTTTGCACAGTGGAATGGGGTCAATATAATGTGCACAGCAAAGTAGATCTATGTAAAGAGTAAATCAGTGCCAAAGCCTATTTACCAATAAAGAACCGTGCCATATAATAATCATTATTCTTGGATAGCAAATTAGACTCACTGTTCATCACACTATATACACAACTTTCAGTATGAAGAAATGAAACTATGAAGAATGATCAGGAATTGTGTTAGCTCACCACCAATATCAGCATTTCCTTGTGTTCTGTGAGCTATAAGTTAATCAAAATAACTAGGATTTGAAGTACTTGGGAGTGATGCACAGTTGGGACTTTTGTAATGGATTGTAGAATGGCTCTGGTCATCTATTAAACATATTCAGGATTCATGACATTAAATATATCATGCTACTAAATATATCATAATGTTAAGTATGCACAACTTTGTATTTCCAGAATACCATCTGATTTCAGATCACTGTGATTAGTGAAATGAAATAAGAGTAGTATTTGGAATTGCAAATGAAACTCAAAATTTGGACTTAGTTAATCAATGGACACTACAGAGCCACCCAAAATATTCCAAATAATCCAAAAGATGTAGTAGCCCAGGAAGAAAAAAAACAGAAGTGACCTTTGACATACAGTGTAAAGACTGCAATAGCCACTACGTAGGACAATAGGCAGAAAACTACCACAGTACATTCATGAACACCAACTAGCAATCAGAAAACATAATGAAAACTCCTTAATTTCACAACACATGGACAGACTTAACAATAGTTTCTACTGGGAAACTCTGACCATCTTAGACCAAGCCAGGTCCAAAAATGCTACAGAATTCCTGGAAACCTGGTACTCTGACAAATTGGCCATCAACAGGCAAACAGACATAAACAACAACTACAATCCATTCAAAAGAAACAATCAACAAGCCAAAAAAGACACAAAAAGACCAAAACACCTCATCATCCATCAACACACAGAGATTAACACCAAGATTAATATTAACAATTAAGAAGCAAACAATATCCCAATTAAGGAACTGCCAAACAAACTTACAGCCAACAATCCAATCAAAGAACTACCAAAACTACACTCTACCAACACTGATAGGGCAAACACTACAATATAAAGTGGGAGCAAATCCAGCTTCCTACTTGCACTGCCAAAGTTTCGGTAATGAAATGTCTGAAAGAAAACAATCAAACTCAGAGAGCACCAAGGATTTCTCACACCCTCTCCTTTCTTTTTTTAAAAAAGCCTGTACCTTAAAGTATGAAATTGTTCCATTGGTGAATGTGTAAACACAAGACACATTCTTGCATTTTCCACAGCAAGTTGTTAGATCCTTTGGTCGTTCATATACTTGATGCTAAAAAGGATAAGGATAAAATATTGCATATAGTTGAAAACAAGTAGCAAAATTACAAGAATAAAATCCCCACAACAATACTCTAATTGGTCTGTGTTAAGTTCGAAGGAATAGATGGGGTATGAGGTGGCTGAGGTAAGTGAACAGCGATTTATTTGAAGAACAGCAACAATAACTATATACAGCGAATTCAGCACCTCGCCCTGCTTGACAACTATTTATACAAGGACTGTCAAGCAGGGCGACCAATAGGAATGCTTCGGGCAGCTCACACTCAGTCAGCCGCGCCTTAGCCAATCAGGCACAGCTGAGCTGTTGCCGGCTGTCAATCGTAAGTCGAGGACTTGCAGCCAGTCGTAAGTCAAGGACTTTAGCACCGGTCGCAAGTTGAGGACTTGGCAGTCTGTACCAGTGGTGGGTTTCATATCCTGTTGCAACCGATACGGTTCAATGGGGCCAGGCATCCACCACAAGAACGCACACAGCACGTGTGCATGCATCCTTACCTTTTGCGACGCCTCTGAGAGGCTCCAGCTGCTTGGCGAAGCATCACGCAGGTACCGTGCACTCCATGTGCATAAGCTCCAAAGAAGTCAAATACAGGTAAGGAGCTCGGGCAGGCAGATGGGCCTCCAGAGCACCATACCAGAATGGTACCCGGTGTTCCGGGCAGGCACTGGTATGCCCGTACCGGGCAGTGCCACCTGCAACCCACCACTGGTCTGTACTGTATTCACTAGATGCTCTTGAAAAGTATATAATAAATTAACAAAACTTTGTTAAGGGGAGCTTTGCAAAATGTTTTGGTATGAGCAAACCAGCCATCCTCAAAGCATTAAAGCCACAAATCCTCCTTAAAAGGCTTCCCAGATATCTGCAAAATGTATGGGCACAGAGATAATTTGCTTCCCTGGGAACTTCAGCAGAATTGCTTATTATTATTATTTTTAAATCATTGCATTAAACTACAGTGTACTTCAGTGGCTACTTTGACTTGGACTTAGATTATCTGGTTAACTGCTGCTTTAAACCAAAATTCGTTCTGGGTCTTCCTGTATGAACGGTTTGAATTGAAAGGGCAACTATTGCTTCACTTCATTTTTCCCACTGCAACAGAGTAGGAAATGTGAATAGAATACATCAATTCAGACTTCTCACTTGAGGCACAATGACCAGGCTCAAGTTGACACATTACATCAGAGGTGTCAAATTCACAGTGTCACATTCTCATCATGTGACGTATACCCCCTTCACTAAACCGGGAGTGGGTGTGGCCAGTGCGTAACGCATCTGGCTTGCGGGCCGCAAGTTTGACATCCCTGCATTACATGAAGACCTAGTTCTCTGTAAAAGTCTGTAATACTGGGAAAGGTAGAAGGAAAGAAGAAAAAGAGACATCAGCACTATAAGATAGACCAAACCAAGAAATAGACATCATGGGGCCTAAAACTATTGTTAGAACAACTATAATAGCAAAAACTTGCAAATCTGAGCTTCTTTTATCTTCATGTGAAGTTGGGAGGGTACTGGCTGAGGCATGTTTATAAACCTCTTTTGTAGTATGGGTTCAAGCCACATTTATCTGATTGTTACCTTTGTAACAGACCTTCCCTCTGTCCATCAAGGCCATCCTTTCCATTAAGAATATAATCAGCAGCAAAATGGCTGGGTATACCCTTAGAAGACTAGACCAGGGATAGTTCATACAGGAGAAGGTCTATCTATGTGGTCACTAAGTGTTAACATGGCACATAATCAAGTAACTGACACTTAAACTTTCTTCACATATTTGAATAGTTAGAGCATGGGATTTCACAACTCAGGTGAGGGACTCAAAAACTTTAGATTATTCTTCAGGGAANATTGTTATGCCATCTATTGTTGTGAATCTTGGTTTGTCTCTAAAATCTACTATAATCCACAAGAGATAAATTTGGAAGTATTTCTGAATATGCAGAATATTTCTAATATCCAAATAGACATTAAAAAACAGGAGCCTCTGTAGATTAAGATATTGATCCAAAGACAAATAAATAAATAAATGAAGCTTTTCTCTATATAAGCACAATTCCACTCATGAATAGGCTGCTCTTGGAGATGACAGGCTGATCCTGAGGGTGGGGTCAAATATATCATCAGTTTGGAGTCATTCCACTTCCACAAGAGACCTAAGTCCAACCTCCCTTGAAATCTATTGATTCTTATTCAGTGCCTATTTGCCTCAACTGTTAGTAGATCAGATACTTGTGTAAGGTAGCATGTAATAAACCTGAAGTGCTTTAAACTCAACTCCTGTTCCTGACTACTTGCACCAGATAGTTACCTCTATGCAGGAGTGGTATTCACTTACCTTCGCTACCAGTTCGCAAATGTGAGAACACATGCACAGAGCGTCAAAAACGGGATGTGATGATGTCTGGGTGGGTGGGCAGAGCCTCACATCGCCACCGCTACCAGTTCACCCAAATCGGATGGAACTGGCTGAATAGCACCACTGCCTCTATGGATGAACTGATATCTATTGGCTATTCAGTTACCTAAATTTCATCACAGTTGTCTGGTGGATTACATATTTCTCATAGGCTGCAGAAGACAAAAATTAGCACCTACCACATTTCTCTTCCGGGATGCAGAGAGCTGAATGAATTCGATGAAGGATGGTTCCTTCTGCACAGGTGCAGCCCTCAGTGAGCACCAAGCAAGAGTCTGAATCTTCTATGGTTGATTCTGTATTCTGACAAGTGCTTGGGGTGAGGCATGGATGTATACAAGCCTTATAAGTGAAACCTTCTGGACAAGGAAAGGCTAGCAAGACAAGAAGTGTGGTATCATAGTGTTGCTATTAATATGGAAGTCACCAGGTTATAAAACACAAGCATTAACACTAATAAGCAGTGTTATCATCCCCTTCCCATTAGAAAATAAAATAAAGAGAGTTTTACAGCTCACGGTTCATTCCATTAATTTATTTCCCCACTCAAAGCCCTTTTCCCACAATTCATGGCTAATGTATCTTATCATTTGCTCTGATGTTATTTATGGTACTTCTGTTCATATAGTTTTATTGTTTTGAAAAAAAACCCAGTTATTCCAAAATTTACTTGCACTTGCAATACAATCTATGCCCAAAGATTAACGTTTCAAAAAATGACTGATTTGGGACTTGAACTTGGGCTCTAATATAGGCTACATTGTCTTAACAACTTCCAATAATATAGTCTTATTGGGGTCAACATATATAGTTTCATAACTAATACTTACAACAATAACTAGAATTCCTCCATTCTATGCAGATATTAAATTTATTACACATGGCGACATAAGCAGATAGTGCTAAACATGGATCCTGAATATATTCAGAGTCTTGGATCCACAAATCACAAAAAGAAGCTGGAGAAACCTTAATACACATAAAAACATATATTTGGATTAGTAACTGACAGTTGAAAACCAACATCATTAGAAAGAAACAACATATATCTATATCTACAGTATATCTATATCCATCTTTATATATTATCTATCTATTATTTCAGATTATAAATAGCTATTCATTCCTGGATTATTGTGAATTATGGATCCCACTTCAAATAGAAATATTGCATTGCATTCAAGTTGTATCAAGACCACCAAAATATTTTCCCTTGAATAAATATCCCATTAGTACTACTGCAAGGGTGGGCAACTTCTTATGAACATAATGCAATACATAAATTGACTGCTCATTATTAATATAAAAGCAGATTTATCAACAAGCAAAATAATTGAAGTAGAAATCAAAGATAACATACATAAGGATGGCAGCTGCTGAATGTTTGGCTCAACAACATATTTAAGCAAAATGAACAATTCATGGCTGAACAGTTAGCTTCATGGGTTCTTGGTTCTCCAATATACTTCAATGTATCTGGCACCAACCAGCTATCTGTGAAGATAACTGAAGCAGCTGCACTTCTTACAATGGTATTATTAGGTAACATGAGGTCATTTGTTGAAATTCCATCACAGAAACCTGCAAAAGAGAACACTATGTATTTATATATTTTACAATGCTTATAAACCACTTCAATCTGAAAGGATTCTAAGCCACAAAAGAGTATAAAACAAAAGAAAAACTTAGAAATCTTTTTCTCCAATACTAAAGACCTGAGGAAAATGGCTTAATTTACAGTTGCAGTTAATATCTAGAAAGGACTTACAACCATTTGAACTCGAATAAGTGGTATTTTAATTTGATAGTTCTTCTATCAAAGTTCTACCAAAGTTTAAACAGAACTTTTGTCAGCTTTACAAGGTAGATCAAATAGGAAACATGACCAGATGAGCTAATTCTACTTTATTGTAAAGTAATTATGCCGAACCACGACAGTATCAGAAAGAAAGTGACAGAAAGCAAAGATAAAATTCCAAGATTGGTGTACATATATATTATTCTACATATCATGTGGTACAGAATAATAGAACTGGCCTCATTGTAATTAACACACTTTGAAAAAGCTTCTGGATTGATTTAACCAAACTCATACAATTCATGTGTAAAAACCTTCAGTCTACAGCAGTAGCCAATTTCCATGCTCAGATAACTACAATACCTAGCAGACCTTGGTTACTCTCAAAAATTAAAACGAAGTTGGATCTGATTAGTATTTAGTAAGAGATCATCAAGAAGTATTGGAACTCTACGATAGATCTTGAACAGAATGGCAACCACATCTGTGTTGCTGCCAAGAAAACAATAAGGACATATCCCTGAATTCACAGGAGGGATTTTGCCTAAGACTATATAATGTAAAGTATAATGACTGGCCTTACATTGCACCATTGGCAAAAATAAAGCTTTATGTGGCTACATTTTAAATACTCTGCATTAAAAAATAAGGTACTATATATGTATAATTGAATATCTTCTGCTCATAGAAAGCTTTTGGATACATTGAAGGGTTCTATATGGAGGTTAATGCAATTTCTGTAGTGGCAATGGAATTGGAACTGGGGCATTCTAACTCCATCTTTACATAGTAATGCAAAGTAATGATACAATATCATTCTAATGATATTGTAAAGCCAAACATACAGATTAGCACCATTGTCATATATTGTAAGAAAAGAATGTATATTTAATCACATGGTCTTCCATCAGCAAAAAGAGCCTCACTATTTAACAATTTATAGGTATAGCTATCAAGTTGTGGGCATTTTGTTTAATGATACAGATTATTTAAACTTCCAAACAAAATATTTGTTTCTACATTTAATTTCAATAGTTATATATTCATCTTTACCATCTTCTCAATAGCAGAAATAGCTCAGATTTCCATTAGTACTTTTTCTGACTTAGATTTAGTGAGGGGAAAGATTATGTTATCTGATTTAAATTCAATTCATATTGAACAATCTTATCTCTATGCACCATTTTCTTCAGTATATTAGTAGAGGGCAAGCCACCCATCTTTCAAATATCTTATTTGACTTTATGGAAAGCTTAATGTAAAGTACATGTTTTGCTTATTCGTGTTCTATCTATTTTTCACATTACTGCAACCTCCATACTTCTGTTTCATAAACTCTAAATGCAGAAGCAAATTTTCACACACACACCATAGCTGTCTGTAATATGATCTCACAAGAATTAAAAGTTGTACTTCAGATAGTTTGACTGGCAAATTTAGCACTTTTATTACGTGCTTTGAAAATTAGCCTCATTTCAGCTATAAATGTTGGTGAACAATTATTATTTTCTACTTTCTCACAGAATTACTCTTCAAGTTGCAATATACTTTATAAACAAACAAATGTGACATTCCCCTTTAACAAAAGTGTGTGTGCTGAGTGGATGAATATATAAAGGTATAAAGTAAAATATAACAAAATAAATCTTACTAAAGTTAGCTTACCACACAATCCCATTGTTTTTTGATCACTGGTTGCATTATGTTCAATTATCATCATCCCAGTATTATGAAACCACTGAATTTTAGTATTTGTTGGGGTTTTAATAAGGTACATAAAGCCAGTGTCCTCAATTTTAAAACCATATTTTTTAACAGTAGGCCAAGCATATTTTGAATTGACCACTATCTAGAAAACATATAAAGAGATATTTAGGCAATGTTTAAGATTAGAGTTTGCATTTTGTCATAATAATACTTTTAACAAGTGTTTATCCTATTCTTTAAAGCAAATCTTTTATGACAATCAAATAAATTATAATGGATACTCTAATGGAAATCTGTACAACTTTCATATTAAATTCTTAAACCCAATTAGAGAGCAAATCTTGGGAGGAAGCAATCAAAATGTAGGCAGCATTTAGATTAGAGAATTATGATTCAAGTTACATGGGTATAATTTAATGCCATCAGGACAATGGGTAGCTTTTTCTGTTGAAGCCAGTGAGAAATTAAATTTTATAAGAAGCATCATGAAGATATGATTTGATTGAAATACAGGAAGAAAATAGAGGGTATAATGCAAGAGAATTCAAAATATATTCCAACTGGGGAACACCAACAAAGCTAGATATCTGGATGTTATTGTAATTTTGAATTTTACCCTCTTTTCCCAAAATTCTATCATACTGAGGCCGATATGTTTTTTGCCAGTACACTGGTAAGCAAGTGTACATCTACATCTATTGATGATGTAGTTTCATAGTAGAAACTAAGAATAACTGGACTTTCCAAAAATTCTGGATGGCTAAAATGGAAAACAAACAAAAGACCTTCCTCTGTCAACAGCCCTAAATTTTTAACAAGCTTAAGTGTTCCTACTAGCTTCAAGGCTGGTTATTGTTTTTTCATATTAACCTACAGTTCTAATTATGTAGTAATAAACCTTTATCAAATAGATATATTGTTCATCCTTATAAAACTGGTAAAAAGTGCAACACATAAAAAGAAGATGGCATTGCAATTACAAGACATATAAAAAAGAGTACAGAAAGTATTCCAACACTAACTGCAAAGTACATATACTGAGAATCTGTATTACTTTCTGAGGAATATAGTTCCACTAAATATATTAGGATTTCTTTTAAATAAGCATATAAAGTGCATCAGATTTAAAATGTCATTACTGCTTAAAAGGTTCTTATTCCCTACTTCAGCTGTATGTTCAGGAAATAAATAATAAAGTTAGTTTGGTCTAGTGGTTAAGGCATCAGGCTAGAAAGCAGGAGACCATGAGTTCAACTCCAGCATTAGCAATGAAGCCTGCTGGGTGACTTTGGGCCAGTCCTTCTCTCTCAGCCCAACCCACTTCACAGGGTTGTTGTGGGGAAATTAGGAAGAGGAAGATATGTTGGGTATGTTCTTTGCCTTGAGTTATTTGTAAAAATAATAAAGGCAGGATAAGAATAAATAAAAATAGTAATAATTAGCAAAATGTTAATTAAAAATATCAATAACATTTATGAACAATAGTTAACATCAATTAATTATTTAAGCTACAGCCTTCATTTGGAAATTGGATATTGAAATTCTAAAAATTGGTTTTTAAAATCATAAACATGACTTGAACACCGACATTAAAAAGACCATACAAATTTTAGGAAACCTGGCCACCACAAATGACATGCCGAAAACTACTAGGCAAAATAAATAAATAAAAATAGAGTGCTGAAAGAATGTTTGAATTTAATTTAACTTTTATTTCAAATGATATCAATTCAATTCAATTGGTTAATGTGTTTAACAGTTTCCCCCTACGGTTAGATTTTAAATCACAAGTATCTCTTAGGAACTCTGGTCATTTCTTCCCGAGGTTACAGTGGTCCCAAGCTTCAAGTTATGCTACTCAACACAAATCATAAAAAATAAAAGTATGACTTAGAATTTCAATAAATCATTTTTCCCACAGGTTAATAATGATTACTGAGTAAGAGAAGAAGTAAAGTTTACCTTTCTACTTAAACGGTCAATGATAATCTGGTTAGACAGATATGTTAAATTCAGCATTGCCAGACATAGCTTAGAATAGGTTAAGATCCCCTAAATAAAACAACAAAAAATAAGAATTTATTCACAAAGAATTACAAAGTGGTTTCCATGTCTCATAAAATTAAACAGTAAGTCCCAATTTCAATTCCATTCTATAGTCAACTGCTTAATATTTAACAGAAAATATTTAAAGAGGTCACTATCTGAAAATATATGGGACATCCACTCCCAAGAAAAGCAAAATTAATTATCTAGAATCTCAAAGTTTATATTGGATCAGAGGTCTAAAACTATTTGTTTATGCACATTCTACAAATACAAAATAATAAAAAAGATTTAGTACCATATTGGTATTTCTGTTGTCAACAACATGAATGCTTATAGTTTCATCTTGTGTTTGGCTGATTATATAAGATGCTTCTTTAAATAAAGCCACATGATATCCATCAAAGGTGATGAAGCTCAGATCAGAGAAAAAAGTGCATCGACCTATCAAACATAATGTGAACTATTATTTTTAAAATTTACAAAACAGGCAGGTGGTTGCTGACAAATGGAAATTCAATGTTTTGTTAAATTAGATAAAAATATGTAATATAGTAAATCATTCTTGAAAATTTGACAAGTAATTTCCTGATAAATAGGTTTTTGCTGCAAAAGAATCTTAATATGTATGCAACTGATACCAAGTCTTCAAAAACAAGAAATTCTGCTATTTCCTATCTTAAAACTATTTTGTCTCCATACCATGTTTTACTTGAGATCAAAGTAAGTTGAATTCAGGGTTGCTTTTTCTGAAGTAATTATCTGGCATTTATTTCCATTTCCCACTTTCACATTTCATGCTGCTTCAGAAATTTCTACAATCCTTATCAAAATCTTAGGGCAAAAGATACTACAGATGGAAGAAGGATTCAGTGAAAAACATAGCTTCTTTCTTTAAATGGAAATATTCTCAGACTTGGAACTGGAAACTCTCAATCCATAATATTTGTTGTGTAAAATCTCTATATAATAGGTATTCTCTCCAATATCGCATTAATCCCTCTTCATTGCCTTCTATTCCATTGCATATTGTGAAGTTCCCCAATATTCTTCTGGCTGAACTGCTACTGCTTTGTATGTAAGGCAGGAATAATTTCTACCATCTATCCTTCCATACCTACTCTGAAATTCAAGGTTTTATCAACTTAATGCAGTTTAAAATAAACACTATATGACTAATAACTCACATGCACATTCCCATTTGGGGCAGCATTTGTCGCCATTAATCTGAACAGCAAGTCCAAGAAATCCACAGCTGGGTTGTGTTGCACTGTATGGGCAGTACTGTGATTGGTTAACTTGGATTAATTGTCCATCTAAGCAAATATGTTTTATGCAGTCATTTTCTGTGACAGGCTAAGGCATATTTAGAAAAGATTGGTTACAACTCTGAACAAAAGAAAAGCAACAAGAACATATTTTCAAAAAAATCAACATAGTAGAACTCAGGAGCCCAGGATCTCTTGAGTATTCAATAATATGTTTTTGTTTTAATTAAGGCTGAATTCTGAAATAGCAGCCTTGAAAAATGTTCGATATTTAGTTTAACATTAATAGTATGCAAATCATAAAAATAATAAGGTTACAAAGTGAAGCTAGTTATTATTAAAATGTTAAAAAATAGCACACATACAAATACTTTCCCCCAAACAATTATATTGAGTAATTCAAAAGCCCTGAATATGTTCTTAATCTTCTTCATCAATAATATTTAACCCATGAGCAGAATTATCAAGAGACTGGTTCAAGAAAATGCTTTGAGATCATGGTACATTGCTAGTAGGTACATAAACAATAGAGGCATGGACATTTAAGCACAATGCATTATAATAAACTTGTTGCTAAAATATAAAAAGACTTGTTTTCATCACTAGTTATGTTTCAATGAGTGTGACATAGGTGGTTTTCAGGGAAATGCAGGATCAGGATATGTGAAAGCCACATTAATTATTTTTATTTGTGTATTTATTTATTAAGCTTGGATGCTCTCTGACTTTAAGCCACACTGGATGGCTACATTTATAGCTAATAATAGATGTAAGAAGCTATATCGTAATATATATCATACACCCATGGTCTCTAAGTTAAAACACACACACACACACACACACACACACAATTCCCTCCTTTCATATGGTGGGATAAAGATCAATTAATTATGTTACTCACTATACACGTTGGCTGAGTTGCTACCTCTCCAGATGGTATGAAAACTGATGCTGAAGTACCTGATATAGTTTCAGCAGTGGTAAAATTTTCAGCGTATACTGTGCCAGAATCATATACTGGTTTGGTTGATAAATAGGTAGAAGCTGCTGTAGCTGTTGTAGCATTTGGATGAATTGGTAATATTGGCAAAGAGCTTGCTGATGCTATTGTTGCCTCCTTCACAAATGGGGATTTGGATATTGCAGTTTCATTAGTGGAACTAAGTGGAGCAGAGAATGTTGGTGAATGTTTGCTCATTGAAGGTGATGGAGTAAGCTTTGTAGCCAATATTTCTCCATCAGCTTCTAGTATTTTGGAAGGTATACTCTTTGTTTCTGAAATATCAGAAGGTACTGGAAATAAAGATGTGATAGATTCTTTTGTCCCTGCTGTTTTTTCTAATGATTTTGTGACACTCTTGGTTGTGAGTCCACTTAGTCCTATAGGTGCTGAACTAGAAGAAATAGTGGAAAGTAGCATTGGTTTAGATAAAGTTATCATCTTCTCTGTAGCACTGGTCTTTACAGATGTGAAAGCTGTTGATACGGGTGTTGCTAAGACTCTTTCTTGTGAATCTGTTTGACTCACAATTGAAGTTTCTGGTGCTTCCAATATAAATAGTGATGGTGAAGTTGATTTTGACACATGAAACAAAGTGCTGGATTCTGTAGATGACTGAGAAGAAGTTAATGCTTGCTTTGTGGTGGGGAAAAGGGTCTTGGATTTCTCAGTAGGAAAGGACTCTATTATTTGTTGGGTTGCTTCTTTATCAGTTACAAGTGGGATTTGGGGTGAAAATAAAGAAGTGAGTGGAGCAACTGAAGTAGTAACAAATGGATGTGAAGTACTTTGGAAGACAGACGGCACTGCTACTTTGACTGACTCTGTTGTACTTAAAGTACTTTGGGGATAAATACTTGTCTGTTCAACTGGAAACTGATATGCCATAGAAGTTCCTTTTGTAGTTAAATAAACTTTAGAAGCTAGTAAAGAATCATGCTTCCCTCTTGTTTGTGTTATAAGATATGGAGGAACAGATTTGTCTTTTACATGGGTAGAAATGCTTTCCGTTGGAGATGTACGGACAAAGGAAGTGGCAATCTTGGAAGTTACAGATGATTTTGTTGTCTCAACTGACGGTTTTGCAGTAGTTGGTACAACAGTTATCTTTTGTGTTGAAGTAAACAAAGAAGATGTTTTGTTCACTAGAGAGATTATGGGAGGAAATGTTGTAGCTGAAGAAAGCAAGGTTGATATTTCTTTGATTGACGTCACTTCAGTAGGTGACCTGCTGCTAAGTTCAGTAAATGGAAATAAAGTAACCCTAGATTCTTTTACTGTTAATTCTGGAGTTGACCTTAAAGCTATTGTGCTTGGTGATACCGTCCTGAAGGTGGTCTTTGAAGTAGTTGGATGAATAGCAGCAGTCACAGGAACCTGAATTTCAGGTGATGAAGGACCAGTGTCTATCTTTGACGTTATAACTGTAGAAAGGGACATTGGAAGGTAAGAAGTGGACGGTTTTCCTGTATATAAACTGGTAGTTTTTTCTGACTCTTTTTTACTAATATATTCTGTTGCTTTGTCTGTATCAGTAACAGCATGCTGAATAAATGGATATCTGGTTGTTCCAACTGATTCTATCTTTTTAGTAACCAATGGAGCTGGGACAACAGTGGCTACAACTTCTTCTATAAATGCAGATTCTGTTTTCAATTTTGTAACACCAACAAAATCTGGAATACTTGCCTTTGTAGTTTTCAGGAGCAAAGGTATTTTGTGTTCTGTAGATATTTCCTGGGAGACTGGAATTGATGATTCAGATGAAGTTGAGGTTTTAGAGGTTACTATTGTAGACAAAGGTGTTACTTTATAAGATAAAGCCGTTGCAGGCTTTGTCATGTTTGGCTGTAGAAACAGCGACTGCTCTGTTTGTAAATATTTTTTGGACACTATTGTAGTAGGAGAAAATATATCCGTTTTTCCAGGAAGTTTAGAAGTAAAAACTTGAGGTTTTGATATTATAGGTGTGTACAAAGAAAAATATGAACTTGTTAGATATGTAACATTTGTTGTTGTTTGTGGTATTTCCTTTTTAATAGTAGAAACTAAAACACTTGGATGTGTCAAGAATGTGTGGGGAAGCTCTGTTGGCACTGGAGTTATTGGAATAATAGTACTTTTAAGTTGTTCTTTGATTAAAGGAACAGTTGTCTTTGATGTTTCTGAAGAACGTGGTTCCAGAACTGGTTTTGTGGTTTTTAAAATAGTAAATAAAGGAGCAAATGAAGTTTTAGTACCATTGGTAATTATTAGAGTTGGTTCAGTTACTCTTGGCTTAGTTTTGGTTTGAGTTGTTTGTCTTGATGTTGGCAAATGGGAAGGTATTTCCAAAGATGGCAATGTTGCTTTGGTAAAAAACTGACTAGTATGGTCTGTTTTTGATGTTTCTATAGATGATGTTTGAGTTTCTGTAATGTTTTGAAGTTTTCGTTCTATGTCCTCTGTAGGGAAACTCTGAGCACCTATCACTTTTATTTGTGAAACTAATCTAGATATGTCTAATGATTTATCCTCTGTAATACTTGATGGAGTCACAACTGAAGTTGAAGTAGCTGCTAATTTACTTTCTGCTTCAGTGATTGTAGATGCTGAGGGGATCGAAAAGCTTGTCATACTGCTTGTCTGCAAAGTATCCAAAGTAACTACATCAGTTGCTGATGAAGGAACTACAGATGTGGGGCTAAAATCAGTTACAAGTTGTGGAAATCCTGGCAATGCACTTGTATTAAAAGCTAATTGAACTGAAAGCGATGATGTAGCTAAAGTAATATTGGGCAAAGAAAATGTTGAAAGTTTAGCTTTTTCAATGGTTGAATTGAATTGCTGTTTGGATGAAGGTGTTGTTTCTCTAAGTTTTGATGCTGGGGTCACAGAAAAAGCTATTTCTTTACTCAGAACTGCAGCAGAAGATTGAAGAGCCCCAAAAGCTGTGTGCGTCTTTAAAGTGGATGGTAGGATTTGAACTTCAGCTGTTGATTCAATGCCTAAAATAAGACAAAAAACAGATGACTATTACATGAGACATGTTTAATTCAATGCTACACAGAATTAAATCCGGCAGAATTAAAAGTGTGGAATAGCACAGCTTTAATAAACTGTTATTAATTTCTAACGTGCATTCTGAGAGAAAATTTTAAAATATTTTAACATATTTTGACTTCATAAATATATTTTAATTAATCCTTTACTGAACACATTTATAATGTCAGATCTTTTTGCAGTGTCTAATTGCCAAAAACTTTTCCTTAGCGATTGTAAATCCAAATGTAGCTATTACATACAGTATATATCTATTTTATATATGTAGGAAGAAGCTTCAGGGAATCAGCCTTCTCACAGAATAGGGTCCTTGGACATGATGGTGACTTGAAGGTATTATTTTCTTAAAATAACAGAGAGCATATTCTTTTAAGAAAACATCATGCATATATTTTTTTCCAGATGCTGCAATGGAATTCATAGAACTATTCACTTCAGTTAGTATAGTAGGGGAAACTGCAACAGCCAAACAGTAAAATGAGGGAACTTCATTCATTCAGCCAAGATGTCGAACCTTTGCACAAAATATTGGGAAGATGTAACTTTATAACTAAGTTGGGTTACTTTCCTAAATTGAAACCTGAAATAATAGATTTTATATAATTTTGAATCAATATTACATTATACGTACAGTCTTCAAAATAAACACATCTTTGAGTGAGTTCATCCAGCACCAAATTCAAAGGACACATAGGAACACATCCTTCCACTCTAAAATAAGATTAATAATAATTAACTTTTCATACAGCAAAATGTATCATTGAAACAAGTACTCAATATAACAATTTTATAAGGTATGGGATTTGTTCTATCAGAGAATGATCAACCAAATACCAGTATATGGGTACGTGAATTCTTAATGAGGTTTATTCATCATAAAAGTTAACTTTAATTGTGAATTACAGCCTTAATTTCAAAATAACTGAAGAAAACAGAAGCTTAGACAACTGCTTCTTTTTTCCTCTTTGAACTAGTATTATAATCAAGATAAATTACTTTTCTACTATGCTGAGCTAATTCGTGAATGATGTGACATTTGGAATATATATTTGCTGAATGATGAATATTTCCATTTAGAATTGGCAGGAAGCCCTTGCATGCTTACATAAAATTATGTTCCTTGTTTGTTTATAGCAATAGTAGCATCCCATTAGAACTCGGTTGCATATTTGCTTTGCATGGAAAAGTACAAGTCACAGACAGAAGTTACATTTTATTTTTCTCAATATAATGTAAATACTTGGTGAACTCATTCTAGGCCAGTGATGGCAAATCTTTTCAGCACTGAGTGCCAAAAAGGGAGCTTGCGGGCGTGGCCCGGAAGAGAAGCTGCCAAGTTGGCATGCGCAGCCCGGCCACTTGTCTTCTGGTTATTGGCACACATGTGCACGTGACGATCAGCTGGCCGATGCGCAAGCGCACAGTGGAAACCATAAGACCAGTTTGGCAACTGACTCACATTTATGAGTCAGTTGCAGTGTTCCAGGATCATGTGATCCCCTTTTGCGACCTTCTTACAAACAAAGTTAACGGGGAAGCAGATTCACTTAACAACCATGTTGCTAACTTAACAACTGCAGTGATTCACTTAACAACTGTGGCATGAAAAATGATCAAATGGGGCAAAATTCGTTTAACAAATATTTCACTTAGCAACAAAAATTTTGAGCTCAATTGTGGTTGTAAGTCAACCTGTATTCTGGCCTAAGATCATACTAAAGTCGGAGGAGTATATTATCTATGAAATATCCCTAAGGTAGGGTAAAGTATTAATACAGTGACATTAATCTTTTGGCTTATATTAGAGCAACTTTACGCCATCGCTTTATGCAAGCTGTGATGTTCTTCAAATTACCAGTACATTGTGCTTATCCTAATCTCAATTTTGTTTTTCAAATGCAGGCTAATAATATCTTTCTTTTTTATTCTCTACCGTAGACTCAGCCACAACATCTTCTGGTTTAAGCAGTAGCAATAGTGGACAGGTGCTATGTTGTTCCTAGTCTAGTGCATTACAGATCAGTTGTTTTCCATGTTTTAAGAGCTACACAGCCTTAACAATAACAAAGTTCTCAAGTATGTAGGAACTGCTACACTTTTCACAGAGCCTCTATTTTGCTCCCAAACTAATAGGCAATGTATAGTTTCTTTTTTTACAGACAGTGCTATTATTTAAATGATAAATGTACTTACTTTGGAACTGTCTGACAATGTTTTGCCAATGGATCTCTGCATGTCTTGAAACAAGGACTTGAACAAGCATCATAGCGCCATTCACAGGTTGAGCGGGATAAAAACTTAAATTTGCTATCTACAAATAAAAAATCATTTGTATGAATGTCATGTTTATGCATGTGAATGCATTCATATATTTCAGCTCATAAATACAGAACCCTCTTTTAGCAACCTGCATTTTAGCAACCTACATAGCTAAATTTTACTGGCAATGGAGGTAGCGACTACCGTAAATAGCCGCATGAAAACTGCAATCCACAGTCCACTCTTTCTTCAATTCATAAAATGAATGCAGTGCTCTTTAAGAACTTAATCGAACAACAGGATTAAAAAGAACTACATTTATATCTGAAAATATAATTGTAGTGACCAAACCGAATGAGATAAAATATATTTCAAAAGTATAGCACTAACTATAAAGCTGTTCTCCAGCATTTCAGTGAAGATAAACAGAAACAAATAGCCTCCAATTTTCTTTTACTTTCTTCTTTTATTTCCCTTCTTCACAAAAGTCAGATTGATTGGGTTGTTGTTATTTTGTTTTTTGTTTCAATTTTCAAGCTACTAAAAACTCTATTTTATTCAAAATTAAATCACTATTGCTGGGGCGGGGGGAAATACAGTGGAGAGGTTTTACTCTTTTTTTTTAAAGCAAGACTTGTGATTCAGTTTTGTCATAGTTCCTAATTTTAAAATAAAAATAAAAGTTTTTGCTATTTTACTGCCTTTAAAAAAAACAATGAATTCAGTATTTTTGTAAATTAATTAAATGAAAAGTTTGAAGTCGAACTCTTTACTTATCTCTGTAGTATTTGCCCTTAGGTAGTTTAATGATTTATCTATATTTGCCTACATTTATATGTATAATGCTATATAGTATTTGTTATTCTCAACATTATAATCTTTTCTCTCACTCTGTCCATTTCATATCATTCACCTCAGTTCATAGGTATTAGGCAATTCAGAATCATTCAGATTTGAGAAAAAGCAAATGTTGGAAATATATGGCAGGAACCTATTTGTAGAACCGCAGTGTGGAAGGAAATGTAAGTGGCAATTCACACAGTTTTTTACATTACAGATTCAACTAACCCTAAACTTCCATGTATGTCCTCAGACTGCATTCTACTCAGGAGTTACATCTCTGGTGATCCAATATGGAGTTCCTTTATGTTTGTCTCAGTTGGAAGGAATGTTTTCATATTACAAACGCAGCAACAATATCTATTTATAGTTTATAGCAATCCCAACGGGAATTTCAAGTACCTGTGAAAGAATCCTATTTCTCAACATGCGTAAATCAAGAAGATGAAAAGGGTTAAGAATGAATCCGACCTAACCATACTGCATACACACTATATATAGCTAACCAGCTTTCCATGAGAAGGTATTTACATACAGGAATGCAATAGCATTTTTCTGCTCATGCTCCTTGGGAAACATTATTTGGTCATAACTACGTATATTGCAGACAGTATGTAATGATAATAACTAGCCACTATTGACAGTATGATAGTCCATTAATCAATCTAATGCCTCTTTGAAGATGAGATCACTACCTCTTGCAGAAGAAATTCCCACACTTTGATAACACAAACATGAAGAATTAATTTCTTTGGATGTGCTTTATCTACATCACGACAAAATTAATAAAGCAACAAAATTGGACTATAGACTCTAAGTCAGAAGTTCAATAAATGCAAAATAAGGCAATTATCAATGATTGGGAGGATATCTGCAATCAATATGAATATTTTGCCCAGAATCTTATATCTGTTCCAGACAATTCCAATTAGATTAGGGAAAGACTATTTTGATGACTTAAATAAAATGGTGCTGAAATACATTTGGCAGGGGAGGGGAGCAAGAATAAAATTAAAATTGCTACAAGACACTAGAATAAGAGGAGGATTTTATCTGCCTAACTGGGAATTATATCATCAGGCAACAAGCTTAATGTGGATTAAGGAGTGGATAACATTAAGGAATTCTTGACTACTGACAGTAGAAGGACACATCTTATTGTTGGGGTGGCATGCTTTTTTATGGTATAAGGGTACTAAAATGCAGGGGCACTTCAGAAGACACTATATATGGGAGGCTTTGTTATTAAATTGGGAAAAGATCAAAAGGGAATACTATTTAAAAATTCCTGTCTGACTATCTATTGAAGCTTTTTCACATCCAATAATATACAAAAAGGAACAAACAGTTAGATATGGCGAAATACTGAATGCAGAGGGTGAACTTAAATCTATGCAAGGCTTGGAACAGGAAGGGATAAAGATGAATTGGTTTTCATATGTGCAAATACAATCTAGATATGATAAAGATTGTAAAACAGAAGGTTTCTATGATAAAATTATTATTATTATTATTATTATTATTATTATTTATTCAATTTATAAGCTGCCCTATGACTGAGCTAGATAAAATTTTGACTGGTACTGATGAAAAAGTAATTAAAAAACTATATGGACATTTGCTAGAGATTAAACTAGAGGAAAAACAAGTTTAAAAATCTATGATAGCTTGAGGGGACCGAATTTTGGACATGGGATTGAATTAGAGAAATGGCAGAAATTGTGGTATCAAAATTATAAAATGACAATGTCAACAGCATATAAGGAAAGTTGTATAAGATGTTTTACAGGTGGCATTTACCCCTTTACGAGAATAGCAAGAATGTTCAAGAACAAATCTGAAAAGTGTTGGAAATGTCATCAGACATGGGGCTCATATTGCCATATATGGTGGACTTGCACAGAAGCTAAAAGATATTGGACTAAAATTCACTCATGGTTGGAAATGATACAAAATGAAAATGATACAAAAACACATAGACTTTAAACCAGAAACTTTTTTATTGGGAATTATACCGGAAATATACAACAAAGACTTGAAATATTTGATTGTAAATGTCTTAACGGCAGCTAGAATTGTATTTGCAAAAAATTGGAAAAATGAGAAAATACCAACGCAGGAGGAAGTTATTCGAAAAATAATGGAATATGCTGAAATGAGTAAATTGACTTTTGAAATTAGAGAACAAGAAGATGAACAATTTTATAAGGTATGGGATTTGTTCTATCAGTGGTTAGAAAAAAAACCATGGAAATGAAAAATGTTGGAGAATTTTTTATACTGTAAGAATAATAGAATGATATAAGTGACATTATAAAGACATATTATTTTTAAATAGGCTAAGAATGATGTAATGATATGAACCCAATACCTAGAATAATTTTTTAAATGAAGGAATAACAATTGTAACTGAACAAATGATGTACGATGATAATAATGTATCTATGCATATTTGAATGTATAATTTGTGGTTTTATATACAACTGAAAGTGGTGATTATGGAAAGAATGCACAAAAGCCTGTAATCAAACGACACACTATATATAATCAATGTAATTGATGAAAGTTTTGTGTTTGTTTTGTCTGTCTTTGTTTAAAAATAAAAAACTTTTACAAAAAAATGCAAAATAAGGGTCTTCCCCAGTTAGTTAGTTAGTTTACTTTATTATAATTGCACCTCGTACAACAAAATTAAATGCCATTTTCAGTGTACATTATACATAAAAAACCTATTATCCAGTTGCTAACCTAGTCTGACTACTCCTACTTAGCTTTTTCAGCCAAATTCTGCTGGGTGCTGCCATCTGATGTGTTTGAATAAGTATCATTTTATCCACATCCATTTCCTGCCTCCTATATTTATTCTGGGATGAATGCAGAAAAATGCACACAATTTTTACTATTACTATTATTACTCTTTATTACCTCCACAGAAGTTTGAAGTATATGGTCACAATTCTGTTATAGGCTATCAACATAAAAGAAGATTAAAATTAAAATTTAATTAACATTAAAATTCAAAAGTAGTAAAATAATATGTTTTATATATGTTTGGTAAATCTGCTTAATCATGAAATGAAATATTTTACCAAATGTACCAAACAATCCATAAGAATTAAGAGCTTAGAGACAGAAATGTTCTAATTCCTGGTTTTGGTAAAAAAAAAATAATGTAGTATAAAGTTAACACTTATTTTTCACTTTGCAATAAAAAAATCATCCAAGACAATTGAGAAATACTGGTAAAAGCATTTCAAAATAAAAGATCTCCCACCTATTTAACATTTTTAACTATTAAAAGAGTATAATAGTTAATTTTAATTATTAACTGTTAAACATTTTCTACTCTGTTTCAACCTTTGTATATAATTCTTTGCTTCAGTTTTTCTTCTTGAAAAAAAATCAATAATGCTGCCTCATTTGACACAATTATAGGAGTACCTTTATATTTTCACATTCTTTAATCTTTCTAAACAGATTATGTTATCAAGTTGCAATAAATAGTCTGAACAATTTCAATAGAATATTCTTAATACAACAGATGAAGATGATAAATTATCATTAAGAGCATTAGAGGAAACCTGATACAGAAGCTTACCTCAGTGATTTTTTTATTATTTATTATTATATGCAAAATAAATAGATGGGGAGAAAAATATAATCTATACTAACAAATTCATTTATATCTGGTTTGTTACAAACAGGAGATAGTAATTAAAATGATTATACCAATTCTTTATCTTATTACTGCTATCAGTTGTACTGAAAATATTCTGATAAATATATCATGCCTTTATGTGAACTACGATACATCATAGTACACATATATGAATGAAAATATACACATTTATTATGATTATTCTTATTGTTTTACTTTTTTTATGAAAACTGAATCTTCCCATGAGTTTCAGAAAATATTAATCTCTATCAAAGATTCTTTGATAATTCTTTGATAATTTTTTGGTAAGTTTCAGAAAACATGAACAAATTTATGAAGAACTTTTTTTTTTTTTTTGAGAAGGAATTTTGAACAATCCATTATCCTATTCCCAATATTTATGTTCCGGAACAGCAGTTCTCACTTGCAAAGTTTCTGATCTAATATGCAATTTATGATAGCCAGCAGGAAATTTAATCTGCCTTTCCCTCTGCACTCTAGAACTGGTGTAACATTTCCATTAACAAATGCAGCTATATTTTTAGATCATGTAATTAGCCTGCATCAGTTAGCCCAGTGTTTCCAAAAGAACACTGGAGAAAGATTCAAGCCCAAGGTTTCTTTGCTTATAAAACTCTGAAATCCAAATCCATAGATGTGGAGATTAATGAAATACCCCGTGATTATTTGATACGGCCTTCCTTGCTGAGGTAGACTGCTTTAGTTTTCTACTGGCATGGATAGGATTCTTTGGCAAGACTGGAAAGCAAAGTTTTTCCCTTTAAAAAAGAGACACATTTTCTACATACAAACACTAGAGAAGGCGATCATTAGAGATTGCAATTTCTCCTTTCCCTCTTAAAGATAAAAGAAGCATGGAACTTGTGCTTGATCCATATAATGTCCCAAATTAATACAAATTCTTATCTTTATAATTTTCCTTCTTCTACTCAATTATGTCCAATTCTCAGACCTCGAGGAAAAGTCCCTGAAGTTTTCTTGGCAAGGTTTTTCAGAAATGGTTTGCCAGGGGGTCCTTTCTAGACCTGAGAGAAAATGTCTCAAAAGTAAGGATCTTAGTAGTGCTACCACTAACCCCTTTAATCCAGTAGTCTTTAATAACAAGGAAAGCATATAGTTCATCCATTCTATTAGGAAAGTCCCTCATCTGTGACTATATAACTCACCTAAATAAAACCTAATTTTTTGCTTCATTTTTATGTTTGATTGTTGTTGTTAGTTGCAAAGTTGTGTCTGACCCATTGCGACCCCATGGACAACGTCCTTCCTATCTTCTACCATCCTCTGGAGTCCATTTAAGCTCACGCCTACTGCTTCAGTGACTCCATCCAGCCACCTCATTCTCTGTTGTCCCCTTCTTCTTTTGCCCTTAATCTTTCCCAGCATTAGGCTCTTCTCCAGTGAGTCCTTTCTTCTCATTTGGTGGCCAAAGTATTTGAGTCTCATCTTTAGAATCTGGCCTTCTAAAAAGCAGTCAGTGTTGATCTCCACTAGGATTGACAGGTTTAATCGTCTTGCAGTCGAAGGGACTCGCAGGAGTCTTGTCCAGCACCATAGTTCAAAGGCCTCAATTCTTTGGCACTTAGCCTTTCTTATGGTCCAACTTTCACAGCCATACATTGCAACTGAGAGGCTCATAGCCTTGACTATACACACTTTCATTGGCAGGGTGATGTCTCTGTTTTTTAGTGTGCTGTCTAGTTTTGCCATAGCAGGAACAAGTGTCTTTTATTTCTTAGCTGCAGTCCCCATCTGCAGTGATCTTGGAGCCCAGGAAAATAAAATATGTCACTACCTCCATTTCTTCCCCATCTATTTGCCAGGAATTGAGATGGCTGGATGCCATGATCTTACTTTTCTTAATGTTGAGTTTCAAGGCAACTTTTGCACTCTCCTTCTTGACCCGCATCAAGAGGCTCTTCACTTTCTGCCATTAAAGTGATATCATCTGCATATCTGACGCTGTTGATATTTCTCCCAGCAATCTTAATTCCAACTTTTGATTCATCTAGCCCCACCTTTCTCATGATGTGCTCTGCATATAAGTTAAATAGGCAGCACGACATTATACAGCCTTGCAAGACTCCTTTCCCAATTTTGAACCAAACAGTGGTTCCATGTCCAGTTCTCACTGTTGCTTTTTGAACTGCATATAGGTTTCTCAAGAGACAAATAAGATGATCTGGTACTCCCATATCTTTAAGAACTTGCTACAATTTGTTGTGATCTACACAATCAAAGGCTTTGGCCAATGAAGCAGAAGTAGATGTTTTTATGTTTGATTAAAAAGCACATATTTGAAGTTTTTGAAGAAAGTATTAAGAGCATGTTTTCTGGGAATTTGGGAAGATATAACTTCGATAGCTTTAGAAATATTGTTGGTATATAGCTTTTATTGAATTTTTATAGAAATCACTTTGTGAATTCTGGTAGAAACCACTCTGAAATTCTTGAAACAGTAGCTTTTAATATGTACATGTGTTCTTTCAAAGTATGTTTAGCTAAAGGGTAGATAACTTGTCTTAAACATTTTTAAAAGTGTTCATTGCCTCCTCTTATCTGAATGATTACCAATCTGTTTCTAATTTCCTTTTTGCAGATGGGGAAGCACTCAGAATGAGAACGGAATACTTCAATTCTTGGAGGTGTTGAAAGTTTGCAAATTACCTTGAATTAATTCAGCCAAGTTTCTAAAGTGGTTTGGGAACTGATAAACCGCAATGACTGAGATTGCTTTTCTGTCAGCAAATTTAGTACTACTTCAATCCTCAGTGTTTCTCAACATTGGCAACTTTAAAAGATAGAAAATTCTGGGAGTTAAAATCCATTTATCTCCAAGTTATCAAGGTTGAGAAACATTGTAAATTTAAATTATCAGCAAGATTTCTCTTCCCTTTTGTTTCCTCTCACTTGTCTCTCCTACAGCTCTCCAGATCTCTCTGGAGAGTTTTTAATATATTCAAAAAAAAAATAACCGAAGGAGGATGCTGGGGGACATGAATCATACTATTTTTTTGAAACATAGAAAATATCTTCTCTTCATCTGCATTTACATTAAATATGTAACTGACACATTTATCCTAAAATATTTTTTTAGAAAGTTAACATTTGATCAGTAGAGGGCTTGCATGTTAAGAGCCATATCATCTTGCATGAAGTGCAACATCAGGCCCAAAGAATCATGAGCAACATATGGAGTTACTCTGAGTAGTTCTTTACTGTTTGCCTATAACAGAATCCTGCCATACTAAAATAACTATCTGTGTAACTATTAGATATACTCTATGACTTACTAGAGAGAAATATTCCCCTTCATTCTTTTTCTGCTTACCAAATATTCTAAGCTCTACTGTTTTTGCCTTCTGAGAAAGAGCCCTTCCCTCCTGACTCCAAAGTACATTCCACCATTTAGTGACCTAAATATTTCCTGTGCCCAAAACCAAAACAGACACAAAAACCTCTTCCTATAGGTTGAATGGGTTCTCACAACCATTTGTTACAAGATGTCTGTGAAACACGATTGGGAGAGAAAGGAAGAAACAAGGTAGGAGACCAACTACATGAGACACCTTACCTTGCATCATTTTGGAAGCAGTAGAACACAGCATCCGAGATCTGCAAGTGGGCATTGCATTCCACCCATAGGCTACCATACGAGGACTAATTATGCATTACAAAGATCACCTGGAGGTAGGAGATACTTCCAATATAATATACCAGATCCCCTACATGGATTGCCCTTGTGACTGCATAGGATCGATGGGATGGATGCTAACCACCAGATAGCAAGAACACAAGCAAGTAGTCAAACGAACTCATTGATGGCCTCACACTGCAATGCATTATGAATATGAATTCATGCACAATTGGATGACCAAGCACAAAAGCAGCCAGGGAAGTGATGGAAGTCTGGGAAATAGGCCCCTCATCAGTCAACAGGAGTGCTGATATACATCAGATTATCAAGTACTTAAGAGCAGAGGGCTTGGCAGCACAAGAAAACAACAGCCAATGACTTACTAGCCAGCAACACCCCAATCAATAATTAAAAAGCCCTACACAAGAGGCATCATGTAAATACCACACACAGAATAGCCCAAAGCACACACTCTGCTAGAGAGAAGTTTCCTAAGGATGGGCTCCAGCATGTGTCTGAAAGCTCAGAAGACTAAAACTCTGGTCCCAGTAACTGACCCAGATTGGATCCAGCAATATTATCCTGGGACATGTACAGTATATTCATCTTCATTCCTCCCCTTATAATTCTGCTTATTTTTGCCCTGTACAAAAAATTCACATTAAGAGAAACTTACTGTATTGTTCTGTTAACTGTCATGCTATTTATTTATATCTCAACTGAGTATAGTGTATAACTCACCCACCCCCAGACTCCAGGTTGAAATCAGTAAGTGTTGATGAAAAAAAATTCTGAATTTTTTTACCCACAAAGATATTTCTTGCATATGCAATGTAGATTGTGTAGGACTAAGTGAATCTGTGATTCTAGGACAAAAGACTTTTGGCCCTCCATTGAAGCTGAATACAACTGCCAGCATTTATTACTACTGATCAAGTTGACTACAGTTTTTAAAACTTCAGTAACCTCTGGATAGCCATCAGTTACCAATCCTGCAATGGTTCATCTCATGAATAAGCACTTCAGTATATAAATGATACTGGAAAGTTTTTATAACTTTCACTTTCTTAATACAGGGGAGAGGCTTCACATAAAGTATAGCAAAACCATATGAAAATACAATCAGTGTGTTCATATTCAACTACTTACCTACAAGTTTAAAAAGTGTAGAGAGTCTGAATGCCTCAGAGTGATGATATTTAATGACAGTCACAGAGGAAGCTGAAATGTGGATGAACACTCCTGGTACGGCAAATGATTCAAAAGAACTATATCCTGAGAACCATGTGTTTTTGTGAATGGCAAATGTTGACCTGTTCTGAAAACGTTCATTTCTCTCCCACTTGGAAAGAACAAGGGTATTATTAGAAGCTAAATAAAGAAAATAATTTGGTCTGTCAGCTGCTTCCAGTGAAACCAGGTGTGGATCTGAAAAGCAAAAAAAAAACAATGAAGAAATATGATGAAATGGCCAAGGCTAGATTATAGTGATTAGCTTCTAGGTTGTATGTCAATTATAATTCCATTAATAGGTGGCTGCTGACACTTATTAAAATGTTGCATGGTGATACCTACATCCAAATTTGGGTGAACAACCAAGGTCAGCATTCTGCTGTGGTGTAATTTAGCCCCTTTGCTATTTAATTTTAGATGTGGTGGCAAAAGTGACAAAACTGAAGCATCCCTGCTAAGCTTGATTGATAGACCTGTTGCTTTATTTTTATGTGCATATGATACAGCCATCACCTCAATTTCACATATAGGATTCAGGAGAGCATTAATCAACTGTAATCATTAATCACACCGACTTGGCTATTACCTATCAATTACCAAAAAAAACCATTTTCAAAGAGTTCCCCTAGATAATAACATAAATGGCAAATAAATAGGAATTTTATTAAACAGGTTAAGATTTTTAAATATCTCAGAAATGTTTCCCAGTTAAAAGGTCAAAATTCTATCATTAAAAGACACAGCGAGGAATGTAGCTCTCTGCTTAATATTGTTCTATACAAAAGGCGGTAATTATATACCAGGTGAATTAAAAATATTTGTGGCCAAAGGAATATCATAGCTATCTTATGATATATTTTCAAGTTTATGTCTTTAGGGACAGAGTGGTCATTTGAGGCTTTTCAATCATGATTTCTAAGGGGCTTATTTCTGAGTCCACAATGCATCCAAACACAGACTTTCAGCTAAGACTAGAATGATATCAATTAAAACTCAAATGCAAACAGCATTTGTTAGCTTAAATTAATATTCAACTCTAAAATAAACTCCACTCTTCCTGGTGGAAATTACTTAGTTGCACCCTAAGGTAGTGTGGGATTTTCAATTAATGTACTGATTACAGTGGGGCTTGAACAGCCCAGATTATTCTTTAAACAACATGCCAGATATTCTGACCACCAGAATAATTTCAGCTAGGCGCCACCTTGCTTGATCTCAATCCCACTATTTATTTCTTTAAGATTGCATGCCAGAATACTAGAATAACTTTTACATTGGCAAATTAAATTGCCATCCAGTCTGATTATCTAGAGAGCAGTTTTTGCAGCAATTCTAAAGAATGCTGCTTCTGTCTCTATGGAAGGATGGGATCAAAACTGAAAATGATGTACTGTACCATTGCACTGACTCTTTTTATAGAGGTATTTGGGATACATTTCCCGTTGCAACATGATATTTTGGCAGGACTAAACATATCCTATCAGTTGATCAGGAGGTGATTTCAGGTCATGTAGCCATATTCTGTATACTGTCTGTGATGGAACGTAAACAATTTTTTCCGTTGGGAAAAGGTTTTATATGAATAAGCATTATTAATAGTTATTTTGATATATTATCCATATGACTAATCCCAAAGAAACTGGCAAAGTCCATATTTTAGTGAAGAACACAATTAATGGCAATTATCTTTTTAAAAGTATTTTTATACAGTTGTAGTTTTCACTTAACCATAATCTCAATTTGCTGCCAACCATTATAGTATATCCTCAGCTGACCTGTTCGTATCTCATTAGTTTCATAGCTAACCAGCTGATGTCAATTTCCAGATTTCCTCTTAGCTTTCTCTACCTATCCTGCATTAAGAATATTAAGGCTAATGTGTTTACAAAGTTGTCTATCTGAAAACTAAGTGTCATGTTATTTATAAATTAGCAATTGCCTTGTAAAAAACCTATTCTCTAAGTGGAGACCTTTGATCATATTAAAAAACAACACTGAAATTGATTAGGAAAATTTAAGTGTTTCATTTATGAAACTTTCTTAAGAGTCGTAGTGGCGCAGTGGTTAGAATGCAGTATTGCAGGCTACTTCTGCTGACTGCTGGTTCCAGCAGTTCAATTTTCACTGGTTCAAGGTTGACTCAACCTTCCATCTTTCCAAGGTCAATAAAATGAAGACCCAGATTGTTGGGGGCAATATGCTGACCCTGTAAACTGCTTAGAGAGGGCTGTAAATCATTGTGAAGCAGCATATAAGTCTCAGTGTATGCTATGGCTAATGCTAAAATTCCGAAATGGGAGAAATCACTTTTGTTAATTTGGCTGTGAGAATATAAAAATTGTTTGGCTGGCTCTGAACAAAATCTAGAATATTTCTACCAGCAATATTAACCAGTCAAATGTCTCTGAATGCTTATTAATACTTTATGGCCAGTAACAATGTTCACCACTTATTTGTAAACTAGCATCTGGAATATAGGTAGGTAGGTAGTAGGTAGGTAGGTAGATTGATAGATTGATAGATTGATAGATTGATAGATNATAGATTGATAGATTGATAGATTGATAGATTGATAGATTGATAGATTGATAGATTGATAGATTGATAGATTGATAGATTGATAGATTGATAGATTTAAATTGCTTCTGATATATATTATCTAAAATAGTGTTTTTTAACCACCACAGCTTTAAGATATATGGACATAAACACACAGAATTCCCCAACCACACTAGCTGGAGCAGACTAGCTGGAGAATTCTGTGAATTAAAATCCACAGAACTTAAAGTTGCAGAGGTTCAGTACCACAGATCTATTTTACAGAGTTACTAGATTTACCATGTGCTTTGGGCTTATACAGCGGTGATGTTAGCATGAAGGTTAAAGCATCCCCCGAAGCTAAGTCATCTTCTCTTGCTGGGAAAACAGAACCATCCTGCAGTTTTGCTGCGATTATAGTTTTTCCATCCAAGTAGCTAACCAATTTGTAAGGACCTTTTCCCAGAACTGCCAAGAAAGAAAAAAAGTTACATTTTCTGTCTCCATGTCTGTATCATGGGTTTATCAGTCAGTCCAAAAGCAGCAAAGAAAACACCATCATTAGCAGGCATTCCCAAGAACAAGCATTATGGGTCTTAATTTAGAACTACAGAACTCTTGCAAACTTGATTTCATAAATGATCTGCCTGAATCTAATCTTACATCAGACATTTATTAAAATGGGCAAAAAAAAGTAAAATTCAGTAAAGAAGGAATAAAAGAAAAGATTTTGTTTAACCAAAATCAGCAAAAACAAAACAACAAAAAAGGACCCTCCACATATACTAAATACAACTTCCAAATGTTGGGAGTACTAATATGCAGTAAATCTCTACATGCTCCTCATCTGCGGATTTGCTTGTTTCCTCATACTAAGATCCCAAAGGAATACTCTGAGAGGGCATACACCCCAAGGCATTTCATGAGAGCTGTAGTTAATTAAGGTTTTTTAAAACAGAAACCACTATCTAAAAGGACTTATGTGGTAAAGAGGTTATTTGGTTTTAATTATGAAACTGCACTTGTAAAATATTATCATAGTCCTCATTGTACATCTTGTGGCACACAGGCTGGGCATGCAGATTATTTTTAAAAAATGTAACAGCAATATGGAAAAAATATTAAAAAAAACATGGAGCATCCTCAACTATTACCAAAGCTCATAGGGTTCAGTCTGGCAAATAACTGGACTCATATTTTTCAAATTAGAACCTTCTAACTATTGACTGAGCTTCTGTGATATTATGAAATGTTTGTAACTGCTTAGGAAGTAACTTGATAGTACAAAAGCAGTATGTCACAGATGTCAAATGCATGGCGTCCAGTTGATGACACATGATGTATCGTGATGATTTCTCCATTTGCGGAACTGGGGTGGGTGTGGCCTGCACTTGACGCATCTGGCCCGCGGGTCGCCAGTTTGACACCCCTATACTATGTGCTATTGACTAAAAATCTACATGGCAAAAGAAAAGATCCATGATGAATTAAACAGGTGCAATATACAGTGATACTTAAAAAAAATCAACATAGCATACTACCCAAATAATCAAATCAGAATATGCATGAAACATTATACTGTATATCAGTACTAAAGCATTGAGCTAAATCAAAATATCCTTATTTTCCAATGGAAAATAAAAGGATTAATGACTTTGAAACATTAAAAGTTAAGATAAAACATTCAGAGCAGAAAACTACTAAGGAGAAGAAAAACTGCCACTGAGATATGCTTACTTTCTTCAGTTTTTTCTTTTCATATTCTCCTTGATTTTCTACCTGATATACTTCTCAAAATAAAAGCTAACTGATCAAGAGTGTAAGGATGTAATTGAGTCTGAGATGCAAAGAATAATTCTGTGAATTAGCCTGCCTGACAAATTGTTAGATTATTTACTTATTTGAACACTATAATGACACATTTACATACATATATTTAAATAACGTATTCCAATGTATTGCACAAAGTATCACTAACATGGAAGGGGGCATAAAGAAAAATACTTAGCTCTCGCATCATTGCTTACCTTTATTGATATATTCACAATCATATGCTATAAAAAACAAAAGCAAACAATTAGAATGTATGTATGCATACACAAGCCATTTTGCTTTCATCTCCACTGAGAAGACAAATTAAAGCTGGCAGAAATGATTTAAACTCTTTTCACTGACTGTAATAAGAAAAAACTTATCCTTTTATGACCTCTAGTGGTATAGTAATAATTTTAGTTGTCCTTCCTATAATAAACAATATCACAGTTGTCTATGAACACAAACACATTTGTATCAGAATAATAATCCGAATTTAAAATAGCAACCACATACATTTTCAAAATACTTAAGCGCAGGATATAATTTTAACCTGAGGACAAGTTGTAAGAATGAGAAAAAAGAGCTGTGCTCTAAAGTTTATTCGTGAGATATTATTCAAGTTATTGCTATGTCTACAGTTCAAGCAAATAGACATTTAAAAAAATCTTTACACATATTTTCTTACTTTCCTCATCTCATTTTTATTTGATACCGAGAACAGAATTCTGGATATAAATCAGAAATGGGCAAATTTTTCTGTCTGTGGTTGCAATTTTGAATTTATATTTATATATAAGCCTATAAAGGTGCAGCAGGAATGATAATGAAGTTTATATATAAGAAACGGACTACTATGACTGATCCTTTTGTATTATATTTAATGTGCCTGATTTCATAAAACTGCAGGAGTTTTAGCCAATTCTTGAATGCAAGAAAGGAAAAAATTACACAATCAAAAGCTAGCTGAATATTCATGGATGAAGAAGCAAAATCAAACTGATTGTATGGCTTTGCAAGGTTTGTAAATGCATTTTAATTATCATACTTACGACATAGTCTAGGAGATCTCCAGTCTACTGTAACTCCTTGTTGACAACACTGATGAGCATAGGCTGAAACACTTGTACAGAAACATTCACAATCCCCTCCCTGGTTACAACCACATGTGTCAATCAAACAGTTTGAATAAAACCAAGTGACATCAACCTGAAAAATGTAAACATTACTATAATAAATCATCCCTACTTAAATAATGATTTATACATAAAGAGCAAGCATCTGAACTAAATTTTAGGGGCATGTCTATGAAATATATCATGTAATATTTATTACTTATCTGTATTTGGCATTATAGTCCAATCTTAAATTTTCTCCTGCTGGTGGGAACATTCTCTGAATTCCAATCCACAGATGCTCCAACTAAGGGAAGAAGTTGCCCTTAGCCAGTTTCTCTTCTTTGCAGCCACGTTCACAAAAGAAAATCTGCTTTTGGATACCCGGAAACTCTCAAAATGGGAGAGTGGGGTAGATAAAGGAGAAGGTTTTAGTAGTAACCATTTCCTATATCTTTTGCCCCAAGAAGCTACTTCTTAATGAAGGTAGAATGTTTTTGTTTGGTGAAATATACGTAAATGAATATTAAAATTTCTAGTTTACATCCTATGCATTCGTACATTTTCTGATATTTGTATTATTTAAATAGTGAAATGAGATAAATTATTACTGAGAAAAAATAATATCTATATTGACAAGAACATACACACATATAACGTTAACTGACATTCTATACTGGAAGTTTATACAAAAACTTGGATTCAAAAGAAAAATGTGGCATGTTGTATTTGTAGGCAGGCTCCTGCACCTTGGGAGAACACTTTAAAAAACCACATTTTTGGACTATAAGATGCACTAGAGTATAAGACATGCCTTAGTTTTTGGAGAGGAAAATAAGAAGAAAAATATTCTGCCTCTGCCTACCAGCATCCATGGTATTTATCTGGTTAGCATCTTGTCAGTGTGTGAGAGAATTGAGGGATGTATGGAAACAAACAATATTTGCTGTGTGAGCAACAAGGAAGGAGACAGCAAGAAGCCAAGGCGTGGCTTGTTCTGTACTAAGGCTGCATGCTGTGCTGATATCTGAAACTAAAACTGAAAATGAAACTTCTCTGCTGAATTACTACATTGGAAAACCTACTTTTGGTATTGTATATTTACTTAATGTGTTATATTATATACAAAGAGAAGTTATTTAATCCAGCTGAATGAGTTACTTGTGTGTGCTTTCTGAATGTGATTGCTGCTGCAAACTCTAACACGTCCTTGCAGCAAATAGCGAACAGCTAGGTCAGCTTCAGCACATTATTGCAGCCTGATTCAGCATGAGCAGCTGATTGGCGAGTGGATCAGCCTCCCGGAATAGCCTCAATCAGCTGTTCCAGGCTGCAGGGATTGACACAGACCATCGCCTCCTCCATGCCTCCGTTTTTGGCTACATTCCGTGTATAAGACACACCCAAATTTTCACCCTACTTTAGGATGGGGGGGAAGTGTGTCTTATACTCTGAAAAATACAGTAATTGTGTCTTTTCCTGGTCTTGCATGGCTGCTTTTGCAGCTGATGACAACCCAAGGGAAAAAACATGCTTCATTTGAAGTATTTCTCATAGGTGCTCACTTTGTATCAGATTTGCTTTTCAAATCTGGAACTCTATAATCAGGCCTGTATTGATACCTACATTTGCTGGAAGTTAGAACTTGTAGGTCAGTCACATTTTTTTTTTCTTTTCACAAACTGGCTTGATTGGAAGCAAGAGAGATAGAAATATATCAAATAAATGAAATGAATAAAACTTGAATGTCATTGCACTTCCACAAGAAAGGTAAGTCTTTGACAGTTCAAAAAGACATCTCCTTCAGGAATTAACAGCTGGATAGACATGGAAAAAGTCAGTCTCTTGGAAGATCAAATCCTAAACTATTTAGCTCTTTAAATATCTTTTTTTTAAATCTTCCATTCAATTGTGTCCAATTCTTAGAGACTGCCTGGACAAGGTTTTTCTTGGCAAGGTTTTTCAGAAGTAGTTTGCAGTTGCCTGTTTTCCAGAGCCAGAAGGTATGATAGACCCAAGGTCACCCTACTGGCTTTGCTCCTAAGGTAGGATGAGAACTCAGAGTTTCCCAGCTTGTAGTCTGATCTTTTAACTACTACACAAAACTAGCTCTCTTTAAAAGTTAATGCTAGCATCTTAAATTGCCATCCAGTAAAACTGGCAAGTGGTGTATTTCTTTCAGTATAGGATTTAAACATGATCCTTGTATATTGCATCAATTGGAAACTTAACACATTTTATATTTGTAACTCTTGGATTTTTGTCTAAGGTAGGCACATGAAGAGTGCATTACCCTAATCAAAACATGATGCAGCCAAGGCCACAAATCAGTGACATAACTGCCATACAGCAGCTATTTGTGAGGCCAGTGATAGTGGGATATCAAGAAACATTCACTTCCAGAATGCCATTTGCTGTTTCACAGGGAATGCAACCCCAACAGAAATAGGCTTGATTTTAATCATTGAGTGCAATTTCTTATTATCAACAGAAACGATCAATTATCAATATCTGCATTCTCATCTTGCTCTCCATCATCCAGCCTATTAATTGAAATAAGTATATAATTTGCTTCTTTGGATATTGGACAACTAGGAGAAACAGAGCTGCAGCTCATGTTCCCCTTATGATCGCCAGATGCCCTCCCTGCAGTGATTTCATGTGGTTGGACAGCATGAGGAGAAGATGTAACCCTGTGGGACACCGAATATTAATGGTTTGGGTTTCAAACAGCAGTGTTCCAGGACCAACTAGTAGACCACCTGGGTACATCTCGCTTTAAATGCTACACCCTTAACTTTTTTCTGCATTGTTACTCACCACTGGATGGCATGACTCAAATATTTCACTTAACAGTATTCCACATTCTTTCTTTGCAAATGCTTCTCTGAGTGGGTTTAAAATGCAGGGATGCCGAATATCAGAGCTGTCAACACACTGAATTCAAAAACAAAAGAATAAAAGAAGAATGGCCATAAGCTGGTATTCTTTGAGATAGACTACATGTAAGATACACCTCCTAGGAGGAAGACATAGACATAACTGCATATTGAATTAGATACTGAATCACAAACAAACAGTTTGAGTTGAGTCAAACAGATAGTTGGATTACTGGCAGCATGGAAATATTAAATCCCTAACAACCACCAAAACACGATGCATATTGGTCTATTGCCATAGCCTTTGTTTTTGTTAAAGAAACATGTTGGGGGAAAGCTGATGAGTGGAATCATGAAAAATGTGTCACATTTTTAATTTCTGTGAAAATGTGATATGGGGGGGGTATAATTCTAATTCTTAGGATTATCATGAAAAGCATGAAAAACATGTGTGGCTGTGATCTCATACACAAAAATTCCTCTACAGGTAGTGCCAAAAATCTATAATACATGTTAGCAAAAGAATGTTGGTGATTTGAAAAGCTAACTTAGAAGCATGAGCAGCGTATAATTCCCTTTCTGTGGGCAAGCAATATTATACAAAACACTGGAACTGAGAAAAAAATAGTATGCCAAACATATTAAAGGAATGATATGAGAAAAAGAAATCTAGCTAGAATCTATCTTAAGCATGATTAAACACTTCGAAAACACCCCAAGAAGTCAAAACCCCATGATTACATTAAGATTTAAATGAGAGAAAAAAATCTCAAAGCAGTAGAAAACACTAGTTTACTTTCAGAGGAATAGTCACTAATCCCAAATTTATTTTATCTAATTGCAATGTTTATACCAGCAGCATGCTTATTCCAACCTTCTACATCTTTGACTAAATGTGCAAGGTATGCTTTCACTCTGCCTCTTGTTTTCAGCCACCTTCATCAATATAAGAATAACTTCTGCCGCCAACAGACTTCCTTGGCTATGTGGTTTTTGCAAAGACTGCAATCTACAAAATCTTTGAAAAATTAGCATCAAAATCTTTGAAAAATTAGCATCATTTGGAAAATAGGGTTTACAGATAAAGTCTTTTTTGTCCAAAAATTCCTAAGCAACAAAATCAGAGCATTCAATACAATACTATACAATACAATAGCAGAGTTGGAAGGGAACTTGGAGGTCTTCTAGTCCAACCTTCTGCCTAGGTAGGAAACCCTATAACATTTCAGACAAATGGCTATCCAACATCTTCTTAAAGACTTCAAGTGTTTGGACATTCACAACTTCTGGAGGCAAGCTGTTCCACTGATTAATTGTTCTAACTGTCAGAAAATTTCTCCTCAGTTCTAAGTTGCTTCTCTGCTTGATTAGTTTCCACCCATTACTTCTTGTTCTACACTCAGGTGCCCTGGAGAATTGTTTGACTCCCTCTTCTTTGTGGCAACCCCTGAGATATTGGAACACTGCTATCATGTCTCCCCTAGTTCTTCTTTTCATTAAACTAGACTTACCCAGTTCCTGCAACCGTTCTTCATACGTTTTAGTCTCCAGTCCCCTAATCATCTTTGTTGCTCTTCTCTGCACTCTTTCCAGAGTCTCCACATCTTTTCTACATTGTGGTGACCAAAACTGAATAATTCATCTTCTTTTCTCTTTGAGTTCCCTCCAAGTATTTGAATTCATAGAAATCTGACATCTATACACTATTATAAATCGGTAAATATGGTTGGTGCTTAATTTTAGGCAATAAAAAATAATATGAGGGGCCATCCTCCAATACTTTACCTCAACAACTGCCCAACTGCTTCCAAATTCTTGTGAATTTGTTAACTCAAAATTTTCTGGAGTTCTCATTTCATTTATTGTTTTGGAGTCAAAATTTCCACATAATCCAGTCAGCTCACCCTAGACAAGAGGCAAAATTAGTAACTCTTAATTAAAGACGTTTATAACCCCAAATTTGATATTATTATTTTTCACATTAATAACATAGAATCTAGTCTTCCCTTAGGCTTGACAGCTGGCTGGGACACTTTGGGCCAGTAACTGCCTCTAAGTTCAACTCACATCAAGAGTGGTTGTTATGGGGAAAATAGGCAGGAGTGTTATTTATTTATTCAATGTATATGACCCACACATGACTCGGAGGCGGGGAATGGGCAAATAATCATAACATCAATTGAAACCAATTAAAGTACAATAGAAAAAATAAATATATTCAGCAGTGAAAATTTTATCCATAGATATTAATATAAGCAGGAAGCAGGGCCCTTAACACAATCAGAACTCCAGGCCCAGGCACACATATTGGCCCGTATGATGAAAGGCCAATGGGATCAGGGCCACCCTAATCTCTGGATGGAGGATGTTCTATTACTGCAGAAAAGATGCACCTCCTGGTCCCAACTACGCTACATTTCTTGGCTGACAGGTCTCAGAGTATGACCATCCTGTTGAACTGGATTGAATGGATAGAAACAATTAGAAGACAGTCCCTCAGGTAATCTGGTCCTAAATTATGAAGTTCAATCAGTATCTTGAACTAAACCAGAAACACACTGGCAACCAATGCGAATCATAAAGCAATGGCATTACATGTGTCAACTATCCAACACCCTTTACTTCCAAATGCTTTTCAAAGGCAGCCCCACATGTACACCATGTTGCAGTAATGCAGATAGGAGGTCACAAGGGCATGAATGACAGGAAGTAGAATTTCCCCAGTTGAAGAATGGGTACAACTGACACACAACCCAAATTCTTTTGGGCTACCAGTAGATACACAATCTGCATGCAGCCTTCCCAGCCAGCCCCTTTTTATCTTTTGCTACCAAACTTTTATGGCAAATTGCTGATTGGTATGCCAGCTAAAAATAACCCCAAATTATAAAATAGATTCTCCAATGGAAGAGAATCCATTAGATTTAATGCACATATTTACTTTAGATAAATTAAATCCTCAACCTGAAAAAGGTGCTGTAAAGTTATGCCACCCATTTCCAGTGACATTAGTGACATTACTATCTCCTTCAATCTTATTTCTTTTCTTTGTCAAAGCTGATCACTAAAATGCTATTCAGTGTAAATCTAAGCTTTCCGCTGCCCCTTTCCCCCTTATTACTGTTGTTTAAGACAATGGAAAAACTATCAGAGCATGACAAACAGGTTCTTTTTTTAATTGGGGGTGCTTTGTTTTGCAATGGTGGCAAGAGACACAGAAAAAAACAAGACAGTGAAAGTTTTAATTATTATTATTATCAGTGATATTATTTATAGCAAATATTTGCAACATTTACAGTATATGCAATGCAATACAAACAATACTGGTATCAGGTTTCTTACTAAACCTTTCTCCCAGAGACTATCCAATCTCTAGCTCTCTGGCTCCCTCCCCTGTTTTTGAGCGTGACAAAAGAAAGAATGAAAAGAATAGGCTGGAATTTACTGGAGTGTGTTCAACATGGTATGACCTTCTGTTCAGCCAAACACTTGCTGCTTCTCCATTGGGCGAAGAACATTCTTAGCAGGGGTGGTATTCACTTACCTTCCCTACCGGTTCGTAAATGTGAGTGCAAAGGCACGCTAATTTCGCTCACACTCGCCATATCTGCGCATGCGCTCAGCCTTCAACTTATGGTGGAAAAAGGGCCTAAATGGGATGCCATAGAGCAGGGCGGGTGGGTGAGACCAGCCCCAATTTCTGCTACCAGTTCAGGCGAACTGGTCTGAACCGATAGAATGCCACCTCTGATTCTCAGGGACTTCTGCCCAGTTCTTCCTCAGAGATCGGGACTTCTCCAAAGCTAATCCCCTCTTTTCCCTCTTGGGGGAACTAACGGTACTGGCTTAATACAGTCAGCAAAGTCCCCCCCCTCTTCCTATTCTTGGGTGGCGTTCTCATCCTTCTAGGTCTTCCCTTCCCTTCTTCCATGAAAGCCACCCTAGACCTTTCTTCTCCCTTCTCAACCAAGACCCAACAACTGCCCCACACTTAAGATTGTCTCTCCAACCCTTCTCTCAAATCACTCTAATCAGGCCATGCATACAATTTCTCTCTTTTCTCCTTTTTTCTCTCTCTCCAATTTTGAGGTTATGTCCTCCAGCAATTAAGAGACGGTGCCCCTCCCAGCTTTAATCTCACACCTCTGCACCAGGCTGGACCAACGATACTGCTATCTCAACATCTCACTGAAATAGTCCTGGGTAGCTGCCAGATCAGTTCATCAGCCCTCATGACACCACTGCTACTCTTGGGGTGCTTTTCCTGTTCCACATGTTGGTTAACACCAGCAAAGTAGCAACGACAGCAGACCATTACAACTCTATGCCACAGCGACCAACAAACACAAACCAACTTTCTACTCTTTAAAATTCCATTTATACCAGTGGATGATATCAATAGAAACTTAAATATCCCCCAACGAAGTCAATAAGGAATTAAAAGCATAAGAGAAGTTTCGTCTTACCTGCCACTGAGGCCCTGCCTCGACATGAACAGTTGTTCTTTGATCCCACGTTACTGTGATGTGTTCATTAGGAAAATGAACAATGGTGAAAAATCCAGCCTTCCATATATACACTTGCTGCAGTTTATCTATGTAACTCAGATGACTCTATTAAATGTCAAACATGTATAGCCGATTATAGGCGTTTAATGAAAGCTTTATGATATAATTTAAATATGCATTTAGGAAAACAATCACATTATGGTTCTGTTTAGATTTAGCATATTATTTGTGGATCTACTTTTAAAAACATTTGATGTGAATAAGAACAGCAATCCAAGAGACACTGGACTTGTTTAAAATGTTTTTGGACGTACAATTCAAGTGAGAATTACACTGTGCCTTCTTCTCTAAGCGATTTATTATTTTCTAGCCACTTTAAGATCTCATCCACTAGATGATGCCAGATGCTGGTATAACATGGCAATGTAAAACAAAAGAAACAGATAGGTACTGTGTGATGGAATATAAACATTGTTCATAAAGAGTTACAGGTAGTCCTCGACTTATGACCACAATTGAGCCCAAAATTTCTGTTGTTAAGTGAGACATTTGTTAAGTAAATTCCACCCCATTTTGCCACCTTTCTTGCCACAGTTGTTAAGTGAATCACTGCAATTGATAAATTAGTAACCCAGTTGTTAAGTGAATCTTGCTTCCCCGTTCATTTTGCTGGTCAGAAGGTTGCAAAAGGGAATCACATGATTTTGGAACACAGCAACAGTCATAAATATGAGTCAGTTGCCAAGCGCCTGAATTTTGATCACATGATTATAAGGATGCTGTAATGGTCATAAATGTGAAAAATGACGATAAACCACTTTTCTCAGTGCCATTGTAACTTTGAACTGTCACTAAATGAGCTGTTGTAAGTCCAGGACTACCTGTATATATCCATAATGCTTAGAGAAGAAAAGGAAGACTAAAACATAGATAAATAAGCATGACTAATTTTAAGAGTTTTCTGGAAGTTCAAGGATTGCTAATATTTATCATGCAATATGAAAATGAATGATGGTGTTTTGGGTTTGATGCATTATCTATACAGTATATCTTAACTTCTGTTCTGCTACAGCTTACCGGATCTCCAGTGTCATCATCAAATATTATGAACGTTTTCCCTACATTAATGGAAACATACTTTCTGCAAATGATTCCAATGTTAAAGCAGTTCACATTTTCTATGATGACTGAGAAACTAGTAATTGAGGAACTCTGCAGGAAAAAAAATAAAAATAAATGCAGCTGATTCCAATTTGCAAAGCGTTCAGCCATCCTGTTCCTCTTCTTTCTCTACTGTCTGTGGCATAAATGCAGGAAAAGTTACTTTGCAAGACGCAGCAAAGAAAATGATGCCGCCACGTCATCGATCAGCCATTAATAAGATTGATAATTCAGGAATTATATTCAGATATGATTTTTAATTCAAAAACTTCATACTGATAAGTCTAACAAGAAAGCAGTAAGGCAATACATAGAACTTTCTGGGCCCCCAAGACAAAATCTTGCAGATGGAGCTCACCATTAGTATAAGAGCTGCAGTGCCAAGACTTCCTTCCAAAGCTGCAATAATTGAGGACAGGAGAGTGAAATGAAAGACAAGAGTCACATAGTTGTTTCTTACCAACCACAGCAACACTGGTTGTCAACATGGCAAGGCTCTCCACTCACCTTTCCAGTCCTACCAAATATTCATTCATAGATAGATAGATAGATAGATAGATAGATAGATAGATAGATAGATAGATAGATAGATAGATAGATA